GGAAACCTGTAAAATCGACTGGCGCAAGTTTAGTGGCGCCACTAATTAATGTGCCAATAAAGTTCAACACTCCTGTACTTTTTGGCGCCAGTTTTGTGTGTAAACAATACAGCGAGCATTTCCAGTCGTAAAAATGTCGTTTGTTTCAAAAAAGTGGTCTACTGAATTAATAATAAAGTTCTTGGAAGCCTACGAACAACATCCTTGCTTATGGAACAATAAAATAAGTGATTATAAGGACCGAAATAAAAGGGATGAAGTCTTAAGAAGAATTGTTGGTGTCATGTCTGATTCTCTCAGCAACTTTGATGTAAATTCCGCAAAGGCCAAAATTCGAAGTATTAGGAATGCTTACACTCTAGAGCATAACAAGGTGTTAAAATCTCATAAAACTGAACGTAATGATATGCCAGTTTTAAATTTATTATAGACCTGTGGAAACGGGTAATGGCGCCATTTAATTGTGGCGCCAATAAACTGGCGAACACTGGCACCAATAATCCTTGCATGTGGAAACCCCGCTTAAGAGTCTAGTCAAATTGTGCGAAAAAAATTTACTAGAGGGAAAGTTTTGGAACAGTTTTCATTTCATCTAATCTATTTTGGGGAGCTGAATTCGAATCAGAGGTTTGCAAACAATGTTTCGAAAAATTGAAATACCTAATTACAAAAAAAGATTTTTTGGTGATTTTTTATAATAAGAGATTAGTAATACAGCCAAAGTCGATATTTTACAAAATTTGAAAAAAAATCTCTTGAAAGTAATCAATAGTAAGTAAAATATCTATTTATTCTCTATGGACAGAGCCCTACAATAATTGTCCCATATAAACTATATTATTTCTAAAATGAATAGTTTGATATACCCCTTGATTTTTTTTTATTTTTAATTTTTTGACCTAAAATAAAGACGTCAATATAATAATTTTAAGAGCCCTAATACTCTATACGTTATTTTTTATGCCTAGAAGAAAAAATATTTCGTGCATATTATTGATGTCACTAAATAAACCCTTGGATAAAATTTTATGCTTCTAGTTGTTATAGTAATGAATTTTCGTTTCTTTCATCTTAAGGTTATGAATTTCCTAAATTTGCGTTGCCCAATTAATTAACTCGTGTCTTTTAAATGAAACTTTGTGGCAATTTTTATGCGTATAATCCAATGGTCACAAAATTTTATATAAATGTTTACTAACTGTACCCATTTCAAATCAAGACAAATTACAATACCATTTAGAAGACTTGCAAGACCACCAAGGGCACAGAAAACTAAGTTCTTTGAGTCTTGTAAAAAACAATAACTTACAATCAGCAACTAATGATTTTAAAGATCACCAAGGACATCAGAATGAGATTGTCGAAGCGAGATACGTATTTATCTAGTTTTAATTTATGAAATGAAATTTTCGTACAAATTCTTATCAAACCTCTGTCTAAATAATGTTAAAATCAATTTGGTTATTATTTATGTCTTTTTAAGATACAATTACAAATTATCTTACCACGTCCTTTATCTTCAAGATAAACAAATTCTGACCCTGACGACAGAACAACCGAAACTGTATCAAGACACCATTGTATTCAAAGAACTTCTAGAACCTGTTGCATTATAATCTTATAATTGTATAATTTTCTGAAGATTGTTCGTTACAATTTAATTAATTTCTTTTAAATAAAATTAACGCTCTCGGACTTAGCAACTGAAAAAATAGTTTTTACGAGGACAGTTAAAATATGCAAAATTTGAATTAGCGCTATAACCCAACGGTTAGTCTGGGAAAAAATACAAAAAATGGAATTTGTAGAAAATTTTGCCCACCTGGTTCCTTCACCCCCCCCACTTGGCCCTTTTAGTTAGTTTTCTAGCTATTTTTTAAATGAGAAATATCATGGAAACTGTTTTATACAGGGTCGCTGTTATGTATGGAAACGGTCGATTATTAGGTAAAATATACAAGGTACCGCAAAAAGTTAAATACAATAATTATAGGGTTTTTAAATGTCTATGGGCGAGTAATAAATTTATGTATACAGGGTTGATTATAAAGTCGTGGCACATATTATATTATTGCAATAATATTTCAATTCTTCGTCTAATTCTAAGCAAAACACGAAATAACACAAAGTACCTCAAACCAACCATTTCCGAATTATTGACTTTTGAACATATTACTTAAACAATTTGATTTAATTAATTTCGATGTTCAGTTTCATTTAATGATGCCATTCTACCGAAACTATGATACTCTTATAATGGGGTTTTAAATGCCTATTAGCTACTAGTAAATTTAAGTGTACAGGGTCGGTCATAAAATTCTGGCACATCAAATTTTATTTTTTTAAATGAAACCCCCTGTATATTATTGCATATTTCACTTCTTCCTTCAATTTTAAACAATAATCGTAATACACAATGTACATAAATTGAAGAATTGAAATGTTAAACGAAAATTTTGTAATTTCCAGACTTGATATAATTTCATTTTATACATCTATAAATGCTAACTTATTGAGAACTAATGCCAAATATTATTAAGTATCACAGTTTCGGCAGAATAGCATCGTTAAATGAAACTGAACATATCGAAATTAATTAAATCAATTTGTTTAGTAATATTTTCAAAAGAAACGGTTGGTTTGAGGTACATTGTGTGTATTTCAATTTTTGCTTAGAATTGAAGGAAGAATTGAAATATGCAGTAATATACTATTTAAAAAAAATGAAACTTTTATGTGCCGCGACTTTATGGCCCACCCTGTGTACTGAAATTTATTACTCGCTAATAGGTATTTAAAAATCATATAACCTTTGTATTTAACTTTTTGCGGTACCTCCTATATTTTACCTAATAATCGACCGTTTCCATTAGCGATGGGAACTATCGAATGAATTAGACTATCGAATGGTTAATGAATGAATGATTTCAACTATCGAATGGTTTTATTCGAATAAAATCATTAATTCATTTGTATACTAAAGCATATGTGACAACCTCGCCATGCTACTAAATGGTTATCGTTGAGCCAGGACTATCGAATGCTTTTGATAAATGAAATTTAGTATTCGTTTGATTTTTGTATGCGTCAGTGCATTATTAGTTCTTCCAAATTATTATAACTTCGCCGTATAAATACTGTGCTATTTTTGCGTTTATTAAAATAGTTAAAATACTAAAATAGTAGTTATTTTTTAATTTTGTTTATTGACGATTGTGTGCATGTGCAGGTGGTCAAAATTTTTCCGAAAATTTGTGTGGTTTTCCGTAGTCCGATCTTTCAATTATTTAATTTTATATGGTATATGGTCTATTTTTTAATGGGAAATTTCGAGAAGTAGCAATTTTTAAGAGAGATGAGATGAACTTATAATTAATTTTAAAAATACATATTTGTATTTTAGATGTTTTAATAATATGAATTAGTTGAACTTAATAATCATATTTAAGTAACGTGGTTAAGTAAATGTGGTTATCGAACTCAAACTATGGGGTGAGAAAATTAAAATGAAAGTTTTACATGTGCCAATTTAAAAAAAAAGTTAACAATGTTTGTATTTTGTTTATACTAATTCTCTTACATGTAGTCTTTTTGCGAAGAAATATTTCATTTATTTTTTGAAGTAAATGCCAGGAAAAGTAAATATAATTTTTAAATAGTAATATAAAGCACCTAATATAAATAGTTTTGATTTCTAATTTTTTATTTATATTTTCGTTCCATTACACTGCATGCTTAGAAAATTAATAAATGTTTATATTTCATGATTTGCCAAAAAATTTAGAGACTATATTATTTTTAAATAGGATCTAATATAAATAATTTTGACATCTAATTTGTTGTTTATATTTTGCTACTACTTAAAAAAAATATTTATATTAAATCATTTTAAATTTTGTTGTTAATAGGTATAACAAATTATTATTGTTATTATTATTTATTAAACCAGTCTTTGCTTAAAAACATTAAAAATCATTTTCTTACATCCAAAATAACAAGTATTATTGCAGTGTAACAACAGAATATTAATAAAAAAAATGCAGAATATATAGACATACTATCACTAACTAACTAAAGCCAAACAATAATATTCTTTGCTAATATCAACTAATACCAAAATATGGCAACAGCGCCCTTCATAATGTATTTTCTGTGTAAATACTAGCACCTCAATAAAAAAAAATAATGTGTCCTTATCTATATCTGACTCCGCAAAAAATCAAAGATGCCGGCTTCTTTCATAGCATTGCCACCGACCGCTGTCGGGTTTCTCGGAAAGAAAATTACGTCGCCGGGCGACAACTAACATTCAGTTAATATTTTATTATAATCGATCCTGACGAATAAACGAATTTCATAAATGAATGAATTTTATAAATGAATGGTTTTTGCTGCCGAATTACTAGAATACAATATTTCAAGGCAGATGACGGATCTATTCGATAATTTTTATTCGAATAGTTTTCAACGAATGTTTTCTTACTAACTATCGAATTATTCGAATGAATTGCAACTATCGAATGTTTCGATAGTATTCATTCGATAGTTCCCACTACTAGTTTCCATACATAAAAGCGACCCTGTATAATAAACACTTTAATTTATATTTTTACATTGAAGCTTTTATCATAACATAAATTTAACAAGTAGGTTTTATTATCATAAATGAAGTCCAAATCTAAATGTACAACAAATTAATACTTTATATCTTTTTTAGAACGTCAAATATCTACCCCGATTTTAATAAAAATTCTGATTAAAAAATCACCGATAAATTTTGCTTCATGGATTTTTAAACTTGTGACTTTTTGTTTTAAAGAAAGCACCTATTTTGTTATAAATATTGTAAATGTTTTTTATTAGCAGTCCGACTTCCAGACAAGAGAACCACAATTAACCGCCACAACGATGTAGACAAACGTTCAACTAAGTATAAAATGTACGGATTTCAAACAAAAAGTAATTACGAGGTATCCGGCACAATAAAAAATAACACTTACCAGCTAAAATCAGTAATGGAATGAGGCAAAGCAGCGCCAACTTGGCAGCTTTGTTCCCTGGTCTCGTTTTCCACATTAGATAAGTATCCCAAAGCATTACTTTGCTTGCAACACGATGAATCAGAGAAAATACTGTTGTTTGCATCAAGTAAAAGTAGGAATAGATGGTGTAGATGTATGTGAAATAGTTTACAATGGTCTCTTTAAAGGATGTCCACCGGCTGTAACCCCTCCTATAAGATATGAAAAATATATTTCTTCATAAAATGCGAAGAGTAAAGTAATAATATGATAATAATTTGATTGATAATTGATTGCATTATTCGAACAGGATAAAACAGTTTGTGTTCAGTGAAAAAATGCAAATGTGGAGAGTGGTACTATAAAAGATGACGTCGGCTGTAACTCGGGAACCGTTAATGATAGAGCTGTTAGAGAAAAATACTCTTGGGTAAATTGACCATGTGAAATTGCTCTAAACTGATGTCATGTACGAAAGTGACCAGAGAACACCAACACAAAATTGAAAAAAACAATATTCAATAATCCAAATTACCATTACTTGAAAAAAGGCGCGTATTTTTTGTTTACTCGCAGAGCTGTGAACTTTACTCTTTAGACTACTGAATTGAATTCGGAAAACCCTCTAGTGAACTTTTCTCTAGACGTTTGTTATGTCTAGACGGGGCTTAAGGCTTCCGTTTTTACTGAGGTAAATAATTATATTTCTATTCTAATTTATCCACCGGTTGTGCCATCAACAAAATTAGCAGCAACCTCAGCAATATTTATAAAGTTATAATTCTCAATATATCCAGAAATACTTAAATTAATATCAGAAGAGAACGACTAGGTTTTTTATGATAGAGGGACAAAATCTATGATAGAGGAAAAGTACCTGATGACTGGCTCCACTCAACTTTTGTACCGAAAAAACCATCAGCTCGACATCTCAATGACTACAGACTTATTAGTTTAATGAGTCACGCACTGAAAGTGTTACTTAAAATAATACATAACAGAATTTATAAGAAGTGTGAGCAAGAAAGCGGCTATGAACAGTTTGGGTTTAAGAGTGGATTGGGAACACGAGAGGCCTTATTCTGTTTACAATTGATGGCGCAGAAGTGTACAGACCAACAAAAACCAATGTATGTGTGTTTCGTAGATTTCGAAAAAGCATTCGATAGAGTCAAACATACGAGACTTATCGAAATGTTGTATGAGTTGAGAGTTGACAGCAAAGATGTAACACTTCTGAAAAATATATATTGGCAACAAACAGCCCACATTAAAATTGAAAATGACAATTCCAATCCAGTCGATATACAGAGAAGAGTAAGACAGGGATGTGTGCTGTCTCCTTCGTTATTTAATGTTTATTCTGAGGCGTTTTTCCGGGAAGCTTTCTCTTCAACAGATTGCGGTATTAAAGTCAACGGCGAAGTCATTAACAACATTAGATTTGCCGACGACACAGTTCTTATTGCCGATTCTGATACTGGTTTCCAGAGTTTAGTGGAACGACTTGAAGGCTCCTGTAAGAAATACGGGATGAAGATAAATTCTCTTAAAACTAAAGTCATGATATTTGGAAAGAACCAAAATGTACCAATTCCTATTAAAATAGAGGACAATACCTTAGAACAGGTCTACAAGTTCAAATATTTGGACAACGACGTGGAAATAAAAACCATAATAGAACAAGCGAGAAATGCATTTTTAAAATGAAGAACGTCTTCCAAAACCCCAGATTGGACCTAGAGTTGAGAACTAGGCTCGTTAAGTGTTATGTTTGGTCAATCCTATTATACGGAGCAGAAACATGGACACTGAAAGTTCAAGAGATGATTCGCCTCGAATCGTTCGAAACATGGATATATCGAAGAATGCTTAAAATTCCATGGACAGCCCATATCACAAATACCGAAGTCTACAACAGAATAGACAGAGAGAGAGAATTGCTCAATATAATAAAAATAAGAAAAACATCATACTTAGGGCATATATTGAGAAATGAAAAATACCACGTCTTACAATTGATAGTTAAGGGTAAGATTGAAGGAAAGAGAGGTCTCGGCAGGAAGAAACTATCTTGGTTGAGAAACATCAGAAACTGGACTCACCTAACTTTTGAAGAACTTATAAGGAAAGCCGAGAATCGTGAAGATTTTGCCAATGTGATCGCCAACCTCCACGAAAGAGACGGCACGTAAAGAAGAAGAATAATTCTGAATAGGGTATTGACAAAAATGAATTACATTTGTTATATTAAATTCATTATTTAATTACAGATATTAAATAATTATTATAAATAAATAAATGAATTAATTTTTATCGTGTCTTATGTAAAAGAGGATGATATTTAATTATTCACTGAGCTATAGGCTTTGTGCATTCTCCGCCGGTGCTGCTACCATTGTGGAATATCGTAAACAACTGGTATATACAAATACACGGGTTTAAATAGCGAGTATACGAAAAAAATTATTATATACTCTGAGAATAGGTCTTAGCGGAACAGAAGCACGGAGATGCCTCCGACTGCTCCACGAAGGACTTACTCCAGAGGAAGCAAAAGCGAAAACACTCCTCCAAAAAGGGGAGAGTAAAGAAACCAAGAAACAGCCTGACTCGTCTCCATCAAAGGGCAAGAGAGGGAGCGAGAACCTCTCGCCTTTTCTCCGGCAGGCAGAGAAAAACGCCAAAATGAAAAGCTATCCAACACCGGGAGGCAAGCAGGGACGTATCACCAGCTTTGCCGCCATTGCTGGACAAGTGAAAATGGCGGTGCTGCCAAAGGATTTCCCAGAGGTTGCTCTGACTACCGACCAGCAAACAACTCTAGAAGAGGCATTCTGGATGAAGTAGTGGCTATCGGATCGCAACACAACGATCTACAAAATGTGGGTCAGCTGCGTTTTGCGGGGATACACTTTCGGGTGATCCTCATAGATTGTGTATCTCAAGAATCGGCGAATTGGTTGGTGGAAATCGCACCTAAGCCTAAAAATTGGCAAGGGCCGGAACTGGTTGCAGTGAAGGGAGAAAACATCCCTAAGGGCGGCCATCACGATCTTTCTGCCGAGGAGCAGACACCATGCTGAGCCTTATCCAGGGTTAGAACTTCAATGTAAGGACATCGAGTTGGCGAGTCATCAACTCGAGGGAGGAGGGTCATGGTCAGGTCCTCACAATAGGAATTGACCTCAAATCCAAGGAGGCAATATAGAAAGAGATATGGGACAACACCGGTATCAGGTCTAAGGAGAGACAAAGTTCAAGAGGTAGGGAAAATGGAGACAGATCCTCCAGCCTACACCTCACGGGTACCTCAGTCGGAAGCAAGCTCCGCTGTGAGAGGGCCGAACTCCAACCGTGGAAGCATGTGTACCCTCGGAGGAAGAACATCTATTGTCAGAAGAGGATGGGAAATACCCTGTCCCCTCTACAACAGGGGTATGATGGGATGTGTGATGAGTTATAACTCAAGGAAGGGGGACACAATAGATCTTTAAGTTCGCAGTGATTAACCCCCCTCTCACTCATTCTACATTCGACATCATACTCACCAAATCGACGAATCAGTGCATAGTGAGTATGGGGCTTTATAATTACACAGTATTTTGACTCCATGAAAGTACGGTATAATCAAAAAAAAAACTGCGTCAAGTTGGCTTGAATGTGACAATCGATGACATTCCATATACAGGGCGAGTCTTACACGAGTGCAAATATTTTCAGGGGTAGTATATTTCGAACCCAGAGACACAATTATGTTTTTTTTGCAAAAAAATTTGAAAACTTGAAATTTTTTGAATTTTTTTTGGATTTTTATTAATTTTTAGTTTAAAAGTATAATTTCTTGATAATATGGCAACATGAGTAGTAGATTAAATTTGAAAGAAAGAAAACCCAGAAAGAATCCAGTGATTTTCAAAGTAAAATAACTCTTTTTTTTGGACTTACTTGAAAAACGGTAAAGAGAAAATATGTTTCTTTTATCCAGATCTACCAGTCCTGAAAATATTTGCACTTATTTCACCCTGAATAATTCTACATAAAATACAGGGTGGTCCGAATTGTATTCCGGAAACTTCAGGCAGCGTAATCTGCAGATAAAAATAGGTAAAAAAGTTTGTAAAAATGTATGTCCTAAAATGTTTAGTTTCGGAGATATAGGATGTAGAAGATTCATTTTTATTTCGATTTTTTCCAAATAATTTATGAGGTAACGTCAATATTTGGATGAAGAGTAAATTTTTTTTTTTTTTTTTTTTGATGAAAATTGGTATCTGGGAGTTTTTTGATATGAAAAATTTGATTTTGATGTCAATATGACTCCTACTTGTAGAGGGCGCCACCTACATATTTTTAACTGGTTAGAAGAGTAGTAACTTTTTGTCCATACCTGTATAAAACTACTGAGTAAAAAATATACATTTACGAGGTTTTTTAAGTAAAAAAGGTCTCTTGGTAAAAATCGCTACGAGTAATGGTTCTCGAGATATTTGGAATCGAAATTATTAATACCTGTCATCACTGACCTAAATTAAACATGTTGATTATATAGTTAGACTGAATTCATAAATTTGAAATGTTTTTGTGCCAAAAGTTGAACAGAAACTGTTTAATCATCATTTTTTCGCAGAAAATTTTATGATTAATTAAAAAAATAAAAATTTGCCTAGTTTATTATTTCAGTCAAATATCTACTCAACGTGTTTATTTTTTGTCAATAATGACATGTTTTGACTATTTCCATTCTAAAAATCTTGAAAACGGTTGCTCATATCGATTTTTACCAAGAGACATCTTTTACGTAAAAAGTCACGGAAATGTACATTTTTTCACTCAGTAGTTTTATACAGGTACGGACAAGAAGTGATTACTATTCAAAACAGTTAAAACACATGTAGGTGGCGCCCACTACAAACAGGAGTCATATTGACATCAAAATCAAATTTCTCGTGTAACAAAACACCCCGACACCAATTTTTATCCAAAGGTATAGTATAGTTATGGTTTGGAAATTATTTGAAAAAAAAAATCGAAATAAAAATGAAACTTCGACACCCTGTCTCTCCGAAACTTATCATTTTCGGATATACATTTATACGAACGTTATTACTTAGTTTTATCTACAGAATATGCTGCCGAAGTTTCCGGAATGCATATAACAATAACAATATTCAATAACAAAAAAAAACTAAGCCAACTCTGTCACGGTTTTTTCAATCGTATGATATTTTATAATACAAATGGTTACCTTTTAATATAATAATCCTCTCCATTATTGTTAAACAGATTCCTCTTCACACCCTCTGAAAGCGAGGTGGAATACTTCGCCGTAAATAAGTCATCAGTATTAATATTCTTATGGGACACATTTTCCGAGTATAGACTATGAGAGGTATCTGAATTGTAGCTCTGGCTGGATTCATCTAAAGAATGAATGGTTTTGCGAGACATGTTTGGCATTGCCACTACACCTGGGGCTATTTCCACCCTATCTTTCGAATGCTGTGAGTAGGTCCAGTCAGTTTTAGGATAAACACTGAAAGTAAAAAGAGACACCTTATGTTTGTATGCTGCATTTATTTTTGTTTCAGAAAATATAGAGTAATAAGAAATAACTTAAATTTTTCGATATACTTTCAAATTTCATAAAAGTATACAAAAAAATTGGTATTTGTTAAATTGATTAGAGTATACTGTTCTATAAAAGGCAAAACCTGTAATGGATTTGCATATACGCCTTCAGATTAGAAGTTTTAAAATCAGAAAACCCAGAATCAAAGCAAAGAAATATCTCCTGTCGTAAATTAATATAGACCTACCTAATTAACATAAATTTACATAAAAATAAAGTAAAAACGCTTAAATTAATTTAACGTACACAAACAATATCACACACTAAACCAGTCCTTTCTCTATTTAAAAATTAAATGTTCAAAAGGTCGCCTTGAATGAAAAAATCACATAAAATCAAATAATTATCAAGGTTTTTATAGTATGTTTTTATTTGGGTATGTGTTTAGTGGTTTAGATTTGTTTTTTATACATTAAATGTGGTCTGTAAATAACTTTAATAAACAGATTCATTTAATTATTAAATAGTAGTTTAAATCGGTAATATTAAATAAGCTGTTATACAAAAATTATGAATGCATCTAAAGAAAAAGAGGACGCACTTAATCTATCATGAATTTAAGGTGAAAATTATCACCAAAATTGAAAATGTGAGAAAAATAAACATTATATTACCAGCCTCTATGACTGTAAGTCATTTTTTGACGTTTACTTTTATAGAGTTTATTTTCTACGCGTTTTTAAAATAACCATTAAAAGAAAGCACAATGTTTTTATCTATGTTTGAATTAAGGATGCACGAATGTTGCAAATCATTGATTTGTAAAAAATAAATTTGTATTTTTATATTAACTCAAGTAAAGTTTGTCTAACGAAATTGGGAATGATTTCGACAGACGACATCCAAAAATCATTCAAAATCATAATTTAGGCTGTATACCGTTGTAAAACCAGGTTAACCAGCTTGGTAAACTACGGAATGAATCTGTTCCTGAAAAATATTCACTCAAACCAAATTTATAGGAACTAAATAGAAAACTGTAACCAAGATCAGAAACGGAATAAAACCTTACTCGTGAAATAAAATGAAAGATAACCATCTACTGTCAATGTTATGGATTCTATCGCTGGCCAGACTTTATTTAAACGTCTGACGTCAAATGTATCTCAAATATAACATTTCTCGTTGTTGCATATTGTATAAATGAGAGTGAGTGAATATAGACCCAAGTACATGTTTAAAATATGTGTGAAATATTTGTTTAATATTTCATCATTCTTTTATGAATGATGTTGGGTAATATTTTTTATTACCCTGAATATACCACATTTATCCATAACTTAAATAGTAGAGGGAGATGGCCGATTCTACGCCAGCCGCCGCCGCCTCCCTGTGGAGCCGAAAGTGACGTCATCAGTTCAGAACATGTAAAATAGGCTAATAAACCGCTTTGAACCGCTTTTGAACTGCTTTGAACCGCTTTTTAGCTTAAAACAACAGATCTGTTCATTTATTGTTGAAACTTGTTTATTTCTATTTTAAAGCGGTTGTTTCTTGTTTAAACCTGGTTATTCTTGTTTATTAGCTTATTTTACATGTGCTGAACTGATGATGTCACTTCGGGCTCCACAGGGAGGCGGCGCCGCGCCATCATCACAACGTTAAAATATGACATGCAGTAATGGTGGGTACATACAGCCAAATAAAAAAAATAAAATAACCAAAGAAAGTCGGTTATATGGAAAATCGTAGTTGTGTTCAAATATAAGATCTCATAAAAGTCAATAAATTTACATTTAGCTACAAGTAAATTATGATTTATAGTAGGGATGAAACGAATATACGGCGGTACCACTAAATCCGGCGTAAATACCGGAACTAATGATCTCGGAACAGCCGGATCAGGAAATAGATCCGGTCGGATCAGCAAATCCAATTAACTTTGTACTAAAAATTTAAAAAATGAAAACGATCACCAGCATGTCAGCCTAGTTGTTAAAAATGGTATTTTATTCAATCAAGTAGAGAAGTAGACTTTATAATAACAATTCTTGACATAAATATTTTAAAACTTTATTTATAAACATCGAAATTACACAGCAAGGATAATATTTAGACCTACATATTATATTTTATATATAATAATCAAAATTTATTTTTACTAAGTGATGATGAATAGAACGTTGTATTTAGAAAATGCGGGAAAGGGTAACTTTCCCGCATTTTCCAAAGTTAACCTAGACCTGTTGTCAACGTATATGTTTCCAATTTCAGAAAACAATCGTTCCGAATAGACACTACTAGCTGGACTTGACAAATACTGTCTAGCAGTATTACCAATGTCAGGAAAAGTTTGGTTCGCACCACCACTTTATTGGATCTGCTTTCCTGTCTAAAATAGACATTTCATAATATGCCTTAAGCTGATCAACCAGGTTTTTTTAATGTTTTTCAGGGTCTTTCGATGTTGAGGGTGTAGCAATGTCATAATAACATGTATGTGGCCAATATTCGCACGTCTAGTACCTCAAAAACACCTATTAGTACAAACATCTTCTACGCGAGAAAGGGGCGTGGCTAGACGCTACGTCACATCACAAATCGTATGCTAGCGATCGTATGCTCGCTCGACAAAACGGTTTCGACGGCTTTTGCCCGTTACATAAACTGTAAATTGAATTTAAGGAACATTATTTATGTAGTACAGTGTTTCTCGGACTCAATATAAATGCAAAAATGAGAAATAAATATTGTATATAGTGAGAGAATAAATATTGCATTAAGTGTTTTAAAATCTTCCCATTTTGCCTCCCCAATAGTCTCATTTAACAATGAATCATCACATCTGATTTTTTCCTACATTGCTACATTGCAATCACCGTAGTTTGGTAGTGTTGATAATGTATTACTTGTTATAATTTTTAGCTATATTTGTGTTCGCTCTTGTTTAATTTTTGCCTTATATTAAATTATTTACAAAGCGCTGTTGCCTTATCTGCATATAGCCAATGACATTATCCCCATAGTTTTATCTACCGGATCAATAAGAAAGTATATTGCTAGCGCGTTACAGTTTTTACTGTAAAGTAGAAATGTTTTATATTTATTTATACAACGTATTGGGTCTAGTCGCGGGAAAATGTCGAACATATATTTTTATTTACTTACATATTTTTCTAAAAACTTTAAGGTCCAACCGAACCTGAATTTTTAGGGCTCGAACTCACTGACGACCAGGTCGCAACGACATGGCCGTCCGTCGGCTGGCCGGATGCATTGCGTTTTTAGCTGCGGCCAGATGAACGACCAGTTTCAACAGAGTTGTCAAATCTAACGATTTTTTACGTTTTACCAATTAGAAAATATTGTTTCAGAAATGTTAAAATACCCGAGTTAACTAAAAAGCGAAGTTGCTATTCACAACAAACAAAAAGTATTGTGTACGCGCAACCGACAAAAAGGGAGATATTCTGTTTCTTTTTTCTACTGATATGGCGCCCTTATCGACTTTAGAAGTAAACATATTAGGGCCATCGTAAAAAAAGATCGTCAGACACTGGCTCTAAATATAAGCAGGTAGAAAGTTTAACCAGAGTACCTAAACCGACGAGTAGCGACAGTCCCGTTTTCAATTTTCTTTGCGGCTGCGCGAAATAAGTAGGTTATCTGTCATACGAAGAAGCGGAGTTGCCACTGTTGCCATTTATCAAATATCTCTATATGCTTTATTTCAAGTATACCTCAGGCAACGAATCGTTTTTTTAATTATTTATTAGCAGTAAGATATTTTATACATTCAAATTTAGAAATAAGGATAAAACAAAACAAAAAAGATATGTATAAAACTTTATAATTAATTCCACTTCAAATTGTGAGCAGTGTATACCATGTTTATAGGACCACTTCATAAGATGAGCAGTTAAATACGTAGTCTATCTGTCAAACACGTCAAAAGAGAGAGAAAGAAAATTTGGTCCCACCACATCAAAAGAGCCGACGGTTTCTGTCGCTACTCGGCGATCTACGTACTCTGGTTTAGCTTCCAGTTATTTCAATGTTTACAACATAACAAAGAATCTACAACAGTAATTACTTCTATTTTTATGAATATTTAAGTTACTTTCTTAATTTTTTTTTCAAAATAATGTACCTAGTAGAAATATAATCTAATGAACCCTGTTTGAAAAACGTTAAATTAAATATAAGATTTAAAATACAGTTGTCCTCCTTGTACATGACTACAATACAACTAAAAAAACTAATTTAATAAAGAAAACAAGTTGATGTAGAAAAACTTTAAATATTATTGTTTTTTATTTTTTAACCATCGAAACTCAAAGGTATAATAACAGGTATCATACCAACCATAAATAGAGTAGGTATGTCATATAAAAATGTTTTGAGTTTTTACTAGAATCGACCCTTGATAAAAAAAGGGATTAGATTTAAGTTTACCTTTGATCCAGTCTATATACTATTTCTTTGGATTTTCTGCACGTGTGCAAAAACTACACTAAAACACTATATCTTCTAGAAAATAAAATATTGTGCCTTGAATTTGAGGGATTTCATCTGAAAAATTATTAATTTGGAAGAAAACCGGCAACAAGCGGCAGAAAATAATAATATTTCCGTGCAGTCTTCTGGTCACAACGACCAACGGACGGCCAGGACGTTAGTCTGCGCTATATCATTTGATTTAATTGTTTTAGAGGTAGCTGCGGCCTGGCCGGTGCGACCTGGTCGTCAGTGTGTTCGAGCCCTTAGTCTCAGCCGAGAAAAGAAAAGAAATTCTCGGCCGAGAACGAGAGCGAGACATGATGCAATATTTATTTAATAGTTTATTATATGAAAAAACATCTGATAATAGTGCAATAAAAACGTTATTTTCATGCAAAAACGGTTTTATTGGGATCTAATACTATAAAATTACTAATACTAAAAAAATTACTATTTTTTTCAATCGTCACAAAAGTGTTAATTTTTGCGACATGATTGTTTTGTGCGATACCAGAGTAAGTAAACCGACGAGTAGCGACAGTCCGGTTTTCAATTTTCTTTGCGGCTGCGGCTGCGCGAAATAAGTAGGTTATCTGTCATATGAAGAAGCGAAGTTGCCACTGTTGCCATTTATCAAATATCTCTATATACTCTATTTCAAGTATGCCTCAAGCAACGAATCATTTTTTTAATTATTTATTAGCTGTAAGATATTTTATACATTTAAATTTAGAAATAGGGATTAAACAAAACAAAAAAATATGTATAAAACTTTATAATTAATTCCGCTTCAAATTATGAGCAGTGTATACCATGTTTCTAGGACCACTTCATAAGTTGAGCAGCTAAATAAGTAGTCTATCTGTCAAACACGTCAAAAGAGAGAGAAATAAAATTTGGTCCCATCACATCAAAAGAGCCGACGGTGTCTGTCGCTACTCGTCGATCCACTTACTCTGGCGATACGCTCAAAAATTACCTAATTTGACGATCGTGAGTATATTGTCTCGGTCGTGGCCGATAATCTCGGCCTTTTTATGCCGAGAACGAGACCGAGATCTCGGCCTGATTTTTCACTGAGAATGACTGTAACCTAGACCGAGATCTCGGTCGGACCTTAAAAAACTTTAACACGTCCCGATAAGAGTCAAAAATGTTGCTTTAAAGCATTAGTGCTTTAAAGTGAATAAAAAACTGGTTTGCAAAAACTTTTTATTTACCTTTACCACTATATGGGCCGAAAATGAATTACCAATTGAAACTCTTTGGCTGATTATTTAATTAACAAATTTTGATTATTAATTTTATATATATTCAAAATATAACTATTAATTATAATCTTAACATAACCAAAAATACGTTAATAAATGAACAATATTTACGACATTTAATTAAGTTCAAAAAATAATACCTTTCCGCCTCTAGTACTTTCTACTCTAGCTCTAGACTATACCCTTCGTTCTTTCTTGCATCTCGCATTCATCGGTAGACAGGATTTTATGCAGAAGATCTTTAAAACCTGACTCATTAATGTTTTAAGAAAAGTTGTAAACATTTCTTAACCTCAGAAATTTAAAAAAAAATACCTATTTTCGTTTGTGAGCAGAGGTGATCCTATTGGTACAAGCACAGAATATCTAGCTACGCAACAGAAGCCTCGTTACATGTATAAAATCGTAGGTCTCAAAAGGAGACAGGCTTTTAAAGCATGTCTCCAAATCAGATATTTTGATGTGGTAGTTTCACTACTACATAACAGAGGGCGATAAATTTAAAAGAAAACAGTTTTCTACAAACGAAATTTAAAAGAATTTTATGCAGTGTTGCCATTGTGTAATTTATATTGTAATACTTCCTGATAAAGCCTACATTCAAATTTGCTACATCATTTAAACATATTAAAATAGATTAGAGCTCTTTTTTCAAACGTTTAAGTATTTAACTTGCCATGTTAGTTGGAGTTAAATCTTACGAGCTGAATTAAAATCACTTCCTGACGTTTGATTCTAACTGAATCCTGAATTTTGATTGTAATTCGGCGACAATATAATAAGTATTGTTCTACTATTATGACACTACTTCCTGACGTTCGATTGTGTTCATACCGTATGATCGGGAAAAAACGGCGTTAGCGATGGCTATGAAATGAAAATCACTGTCATTTTATGTGTAAATTTATATGGGAAATGTCATCGATTGTCTTTTCCCAGCCAACTGGATGCCGTTTTTTTCGATATCATACGGTATTTGATATATACTTGCGTATTTTTCATGACATTGCAATATTATGGTACCATGGAGCATATCAAGTGATACCGTAATATAGTACCATATTACGATACATAGCGTTCGATTGGGCTTAAACTTGGTATATTACGTATCTTCAGTGATATTGCAAGCATATCAAGAGGCACCATAATAGTACCATATACGATACCATTTCCTAGCGTGCGATTGGACTTATACTTGGTATATTAAGTATCTTCGCTGACATTGTGATATGATGGTACTATGATGCATATAAAGTGGTACCTTAATATAGTACCATATTACGATACCACTTCCTGACGTTCGATTGGGCTCATATTTGATTATACTTGCGTATTTTTGATGACATTACAATATTATGGTACCATGAAGCATATCGAGGGGTGCCATAATGCAGTACCATATTACGATACCAATTCCACCAGTTCGATTGAGCTACTTTGTATACTACGTATTTTCGGTAACATCGTAATATAGAGCATGCACCATGGAGCATATAAATTGGTCCCTTCTATAGTACCATATTAGATACCACTTCCTGACGTTCATTTGGGCTCATATTTGATATATACTTGCATATTTTTGATGACATTGCAATATTATGGTACCATGAAGCATATCAAGAGGTACCATAATAGTACCATATACGATACCATTTCCTGGCGTTCGATTGGGCTTAACTTGGTATAGTAAGTATCTTCGGTGACATTGTAATATGATGGTACTATGATGCATCTACAATGATGCATATATAAAGTGGTACCTTAATATATGTAGTACCATATTACGATACGACTTCCTGGCGTTCGATTGGGCTCATATTTGATTATACTTGCGTATTTTTGATGACATTGCAATATTATGGTACCATGAAGCATATCAAGGGGTACCATAATGTAGTACCATATTACGATACCATTTCCTGGCGTTCGATTGGGCCCAAATTTGATATACTTGTGTTTCTTTATAAAGATTTGTTTAGTTAATATAATTTTAATTTATTTTCCGAATTTTAATTTATTGTACGATGTCGTGACAGCAACTTTTATGCCGAACTAATATATTATTAATTGTACCTGTGTCACTTTTGAAAATCTACCTAGGTCTATATAAATAACGTAGCAAACAGAAAAACATTGTTATTATAGTATTTTTTTACTCAATTAACATTTTTTGTACTGCATTTTAATAAATGATTTCCATTATTATTAAACGTATATTTCATTACTAACGTTTCAGCATTAATAAATATCACTATCAATCGCCCTGTTATTATTAATTTTAAAGGTAATTAAAGTTATTTTTTAGTTAACATAATAAAGTAGTGTATATTAAAAATGTATTTTGAGAGCATATGTTTTCTAATAATATACTTAAAATTAAAGCTATTTTAAAAGCCAAACGAATAATTAATATAAGTGTATCTGACAAGAAACGAAGAATAGAAAGAAATTATTATACACCAGAAAAAGAATGGGATGCCAATTAAAGTCTGTTTGAATCTGGCAACTGTGCATATTTAGCCGAGCTTTAAGGCCGTCGATCTATGTCGATCCAAAACCGACAGTTGAAAATTTCCAATTATATTCTGATTATGATATTGTCGCGCCATCTAGTATTTTATTTGTGCAATTTTAGCTCTTTCATTTCGAGTATTTTTGTGTTGCGTAGCTAGATATTCTGTGGTACAAGTTACCTACTTCCAAATAGGGTAAGTAACCCACTGTTTATTAACCCACGCAAGCCGCCATTGCTTCACGATATAGATAGGTATTTAAACAATAGAAAATAGACTAGAAATTAAAAAGTTTACTTATATTTGTAGTTTTATTCCTTTCATTTCAGAACTAATAAATTCCTTATTTTTATTGAAATAGTCTATATGTTATTATCATAGTCTATTATCATGAAAATGTCCACTTCTGGGAGATTATACGGATCAGCTTTATGGAGATATTTACTCAACGTTAAACTTAACCTAAATAATTTTAACTAATTGAATATTTTTATTGTTATACTTACTCCCAATATCTTCCACTTTTCTTATAAAGTTCAAAAGCTGGCATTTCACTTCCGTTCACCAATGTTCTGGCGTGCTCAACCAACTGATTCTTTTCGTTCTGCTTTACAGTTTTAGTTGATGTCACTTCATTTTCTCCATCTTCAGAAGAATAATCTGATGTCTTCAATATTCTATTGCGAAGACTTTTTTCCGATCGGGATTGAGAGCGACGTTGAGAAGATTTCGCTTGGACGTTAGATTCTTTGGATGTGTTTATTTCATCTGTGGAACTAGATGCATTTTCATTGGTTCTGAGGAAAAAATAGAAAAAGGGATTAATGTTATTTAAATCTGATTTTACATCAATATTATCATCTTTCTGATTATAGTAGGTACTTAGACTTATTCGTATTTAATATTTTTTAATAGTAGTTAAGTATATATATACGGGGTGCGTCTCAAAAGTGGCTCACCCCCTATAACTTTTTTATTTTTTCAGATAAAAAACCGAGATTTGGTATGTTAGTATATGACATAAATTAGGATTGACTGACGTATTGAATTGTTTTTCGTCACTTCCTGATTCACCGGAAATGACTATAACTTTTGATTTTTAAATGGCACCCTCGTTATTTTTTTACTTTATTATGGTGGGTTCATACAGCCAAATAAAATAAAATAAGAATAAAATAAAATAAGAAATAAGGAATTCTTATTTGTGTGCGTTCATACAGTCAAATAAAATAAAATAAGAAATATATATTTGCTCATGCGCAGTACGATGAGGCTGGATAAAAGTTAACTTTTACGATTGTTTATAGTAATTTTACTATTTATAGTATATTTATTTATTCGTTGCCTACTATATTATACATTTTACTTATGTGAAATTATAAAATAAATTAAATCCAAACTGAAAATATTTGTAGGTTAGAATTAAGCGTGCGCAAAGCCGTTTTCACATAAAATAAAACAAGAAGTTAAAAGATAAAGACTTCTTATTTTATTTGGCTGTATGAACGCATGTACGGTATCCCATATAACCAACTTTCTTATTTTATTTTATTTTATTCTTATTTTATTTTATTTGGCTGTATGAACCCACCATTATTTGATAGAAAACGACATTATGAATAGAATGGCATATCATATGTCACCTTTTGAAATTCTCTATGGCTATGTTAAAAACACTAATTCTTAATCAAGGAGCCTTGGAAAATAAATTTGATTGTCTAATGTTTTTAGTGTCTTGTCCTGTCCATTTAAAAATACCCAAATCGTATTTTTAATCATATCTCAATTTTTTCGAATGGAATGAGGGTGGCTCATTAGCATATTTGGAAAAAGCATTTTTTACGAATAATTTGATACCACAGTAATTTCGAGTCAAATTTTCGTTACAAACCGCCAGTCAGGATTATAATTTCAAATTAAACATATGAGAAAACGTCAAAAGTTGACATATGATATGTCATTCTATTGAGAGTGTTATTTTCTATTGAATAAAGTAAAAAAATACCGAGGGTGCCATTTAAAAATCAAAATTTGTAATCATTTCTGATGAAACAGGAAGTAACTAAAAACAATTGAACACGTCAATCAATCCTAATTTATGTCATATACTAACATACCAAATCTCGTTTTTTTTATCTAAAAAAATAAAAGTTATAGGGGTGAGCCACTTTTCACGCACCCGGTATACATAGACGATCAAAAAAAAATACGGCTTTAGAGATGGCTCCGAAATGAAAATCGTTATCATTTTATATGTAATGGGGAATGTCAACGATTATTATTTCAAAGTCAACTCCACTCCTTTTTTTATATGAAATGAACAAAATTCTTACAGCTTTAGTGTATATTAATAAATAATATTTTCTTGCCTTTAGCTGTGTATTTTTTCTAATTTCGAAAAATCTAAAGTAGAGAAAAAAAAAAAAGTAAAAAAGAACTTTTCCTCTCCTCCTTTTTTTATTATACGCTACCTCGGCAGTCAATATAAACATGTCCTTTTATTTTCCAGATACTTATAATTAATACTTTATTATTTAATTTATTTTAAATCCTTATTTAGTTTTCTATTCCACTAGTTTTTAGTAATTGCTTAGATAGTGTTGCTTAGATAGTAATGAGAAAAATTAAACCTAATTCGGTACATTACCTTTAAAACTTTCAGGTGTTATCAACTTATAAAAAAAATTATGATAATAAGCTGAATATATTACCACAAAAGTATGGTTGTATACATAGGTTGTATATACCATAAAATACAAAAGAAAAAAGTTGGTTTGGAAATGACAATTGATGACATTCACCATATAATTTCACATACAAAGACACTGATCAACTGTTCCAATCCAACTATGAGGCCGTATTTTTTTTGGTTGTATGGAAATAAATATCATTGGTTACTTTATTGGTATTTTACAAAAATAAATTGGGTTGTCCAATATTGAATGATATTAAGTTAAACAATTTTACATCATTGCTAATTATTTTTTCAAGATCATGGGTTAACATGCTTCTGTTATGCATCATCCGTCATTGACTATATGCTGTTTTATTGATTTATTTCAAAAATGACAGCTCACACTTAAATCTGATTGGAGTGACGGAAGGATGGAATGGATAATTCTTGACAGATGCATATAAACTCACCTTAATACAATGTTATGTTATCAACATTTTTTGATCAAGTGTGCTGTGTAGCTGACAGAAAAACAGATGAAAAATTTAGTCACAATTTTTTTTACTGTCAAGTCAAAATCAAAGCCCACTTGATCATACAGTAATTTTTATCTCCATTTTTAAACCCTTCTAAAAGTAAACTGTACACTTACTTAAAAACAGTTCTTCTTGTCGTTCTTACAACTGTAGTTTCAATATGATTATTTACCACTCCGGCAGCAACTTCTCTGTCAATTAAATCTTGAGTTAAAAAAGGAGTTTTAGATCTGGACCTACTCGATCTCAGTTCCATTTTACTCATTTTGCTTCTGGATCTTATAAATACATTTGGCTCTCAATTCTTAAAATAGATAAAGTAGTTCTTTATTTAGGTTTATAATACATATTTCTATTTACTAACACTCAAGATATATAAAAATTAACAAACAAAATCAGCTTTAAATTTATCTCACCCTAATATATTCATATTCAGGTAAAATTACCTAGTAAAGAATTGGGTATATCTACTACCAATTTTAAATTTTCTATAAAAATAAGCTAAAAAGTTTATTTCTTTATTATACAAATAAACACTCGGATTTCATTAGTTAAGTATCCATGTGCAGAAAAACATGATTTTATATTAAAAATACGATCTGAAGATCTTTTAAGTAGTTTACTTTACTTACCAACTTGCTTAGTTTGTTTGGAATACTAAGAATAAACAGAAATGTCCCCTCAAAGAAACATTGTTAAAAATAGCATATAAAATCCTTCTATCTGCTTCTATTTTTAAACGAAATTTAACGGACGTTTTTGGTAGTTTATTTTACCAAATAAAACCCGCCTGCCAATTGCCAATTATAAATTTGTTGATATTTTGCCAATCACTAACTCTAACCTATTAATTAATATTTTAGATATTAATCACAATTACTGATATCGGAGAAATATTTGATTTAGAACAAAATATCTCACACAATGTTAGGCACGTTATTTAAATATTAAATGGCAACTATTTGGAAATATAAACACAAACTTCCAACACCTTGGAAAAAAATATGTAAAAAATAAATGATGACGTCACTGGGATTATTTGGATATTTTATGGCAAATACCGTAGCAAATACTTATGAACGAATATTTAAGGTTGAGTATGGTAAATTTTCACAGCTAGAAAAAGATGGAATGAAAAGTTAGTTCAATAATAACGTCATCCTTTTTTAATAGACATGATAAAAGAAAACGAGAATTAAAGATTTCATAAAAATAAATGAAACTGTTATTGGATATGCAACTAGTATTACTCCAAATATACTTTTTTATCAGAGATGGTTTCAAAGTTCTAATATACCGGGTGCGTCTCAACAGTGGCTCACCCCCACAGCTCACCCCTATTACTTTTATATTTTTTCCTTTGATTTTTTCACATAAAAAAACGATATTTGATATGTTAGTATATGACATAAATTAGTACTGATTGACGTATTAAATTGTTTTTGGTCACTTTCTGTTTCACCGGAAATGACTACAACTTTTGATTTTTAAATGGCACCTTCGGTATTTTTTTACATATTTTTTACTTTATTCAATAGAAAATGTCACTGGGAATAGAATGACATATCACATGCCAACTTTTGAAATTTTTGCTTTAAAAAATCCTATTTTAAATTTCAATCTATAGAGTGCTATGGATGTGTTAAAAACACTATAATTTTTAATCAAGGAGTCTTGGAAAAATGTATTTGATCGTCTAGTGTTTTTCGTGTCTTGTCCTGGCTGGTTCAAAGATACCCAAATCGTATTTCTAGTCATATTTCAATTTTTTTAAATGGAACGATTTTTCAATGGGCACATTCAGTAAACACACCGGTATTAACCGGTAAAAACCTACCGATAACTTTTCATTGAATGATCAAGTTACCGGTACGTAAATAAGCCGGAAACAAAATACGGTAGGCTCTCAAGTGATCGGTGACCACAACCGGTGAGTTACCATTTGCATTCTCTTTAATTTTCTGCACCGGTGGACTAACCGGTGTGTTTACTGAATGCGCCCAATGATACCACAATTAGTAGTGGGAACTATCGAATGAATACTATCGAAACATTCGATAGTTGCAATTCATTCGAATAATTCGATAGTTAGTAAGAAAACATTCGTTGAAAACTATTCGAATAAAAATTATCGAATAGATCCGTCATCTGCCTTGAAATATTGTATTCTAGTAATTCGGCAGCAAAAACCATGATCCGCATGTTACAATTTCAAATAAACCATATGAGAAAATGTCAAAAGTTGACATATGATATGTCATTCTACTCAAGAGTATCATTGTCTATCGAATTAAATAAAAAAATACCGAGAGTGCCATTTAAAAATCAAAAGTTATTGTCATTTCCGGTGAAACAGGAAGTGACCAGAAATAATTGAACACATCAATCAATCCTAATTTATGTCATATACTAGTGAGCCACTTTTGAGACGCACCCGGTATATCGATCAGAGATGCCATATAACTTTTTATCAAAATTCTTTTTTCATCGTTATATCCTGTTATATCTAAAAAGCACGCTTGATCATGAATAACTGATATCATTAGTACTATCGTTGTTTGAATGTAGAATGAGTAGGAGGGGGCGCGACCTTAAAGATCTATTGTGCCCCCCTTCGGTGAGTCATCACACAGTCTATAACCCATCATACCCCTGTTGTAGAGGGGACAGGATATTTCTCATCCTCCTCTGACAACAGTTCTTCTTCCGAGAGTACACACCCTTCCACGGTTGGAGTTTAGCCCTCCGTGCCGCCCTTCACAGTCGAGGAGCTTGCCTCCGGCTGAGGAACCCGTGAGGTGGAGGATGGAGGATCTGTCTCCATTTTCTCCACCTCTTTAACTTGGTCTCTCCTTAGACCTGATACCGGTGTGCTCCAGTATCTATAACAGAAGATATGTCCCTCTTTCTTTATTGCCTCCTTGGATTTGAGGTCAATTCCTATTGTGAGGACCTGACCATGATCCTCCTCCCTTGAGTTGATGACTCGCCAACTCGATGTCCTTACATTGAAGTTCTGACCCTGGATAAGGTTCAGCAGGTAGGTGGTGTCTTTTCTCTTGCTCCTCGGTAGAAAGACGGTGATGGGATGTTTTGGACCGCCCCTTTAGGGATGTTTTCTCCCTTCACTGCAAGCAGTTCCGGCCCCTGCCAATTTTTAAGCTTAGGTGCGATTTCCACCAACCAATTCGCCGATTATTTAGATACACAATCTATGAGGATCATGCCCACTCGAAAGTGTATCCCCGCAAAACGCAGCTGACCCACATTTTGTAGATCGTTGTGTTGCAATCCGATCGCCACTACTCCGTCCAGTATAGTCTCTTCTAGAGACGTTTGCTGGTCGGTGGTCAGAGCAACCTCTGGGAAATCCTTTGGCAGCACCGCCATTTTCACTTGTCCAGCAATAGCGGCAAAGCTGGTGATACGTCCCTGCTTGCCTCCTGGTGTTGGACGGCTTTCCATCCTGGCTTTTTTCTCTCCCTGCCGGAGAAGAGGTGAGAGGTTCTCGTTCCCTCTCTTACCCTTTGGTGGAGATGAGTCAGGTTGTTTCTTGGCTTCTTTACTCTCCCCTTTTCGGAGGAGTGTTTTCGCTTTTGCTTCCTCTAGAGCAAGTCCTTCGTGGAGCAGTCGGATGTATATCCGTGCTTCTGCTCCGCTAAGACCTACTCTCAGAGGATCGTCTAGCCCGCCTAGTTGACCCAGGCCGGGTAGACGAAACGGTAGCTTGTGTCGCTTATTGGGTCTAGAGGTAGGCTCCCGACCCTTGCTGGAGAAGGTAGTAGGTAGTAGCTTGTGTGCCACTTGTGGAGGATGATCCCAAGCAAGTGTCAGCCGCCCCTCTTGTAGTTTCCTTTGGATTTGGTTCCTTGGAACTTTCATTTGTAACGTTTCCAGTGTCGCTAGGGGGCTTCCCCACAGCTTCACCGGTGGTGTTTTTAATGCTAGATCTCATAGTGTTCCCACGAGTCGCTAGGGATAGTCAGTCCACTTCTACAGAGCCCTGCATGTAGAAGTAAGGAGTAAATACAATGGGGTGCCCCCTGATGCCCCAAGGTTGAGGCCAGTAATGGCTAGTCCTCTATCTAGCCACGCATCTCTTTGACCTGGTCTCGCCATCATAGGATTAAGGTTTTTGGTGAGGTTGTCTCCTCTTGGTCGAGGCGGTTAAACCAAGAGCCCCCCCTCCCCACACCCTCAACCCGCGAGACATGACCAGAGTCAGTAGAGGGTGCCTGGTATGACGGACAAGGGTAGCCTCGTCCGGCATCGTTATATGTCTTGGTGCAATTCCCTGGCCAAAGCACTACAGCCAGGAACAAGACGATGAGTGAGATACTTGTTAGACCAAGTCAGGCGCTAGGGGGATTACCCCCAGCACCTGACCAGGAGCTTTCCCCACCAACAACAAGGTCTTGCATCTCCTAAGGGAAGGCTTTCGTTGTTCACCGTAATTATCATAAAGGGTCCTTTGTGATGGTATTAATTATTTCTTCAACCAACGGTATAAAGAAAAAACAATGAATTGTCTTCTGGCTTTCGAAGTGGAAGCGTCTCGAGCTCCAAGCGAATCTCCCTCCACTCTACCTTCGTATGTAAATAACAGTGATAATAGTATCAATCACCTGCAATCAAATCGATTCCGCGTTGACCACCTAACGACCCGTTCGTGGACCTACTATTATTCACGTAGGAAATAGAGTTCGAGACGCTTCCGCTTCGAGCTTAAGACGATTCGATGTGTGCACGGTCTTAATTGAAAAAATCGGGCTAGCGATTCTGTAAACATATTTCCTGTCTAGTGACTCACCAATCTATACAAATAGCATAGGCTAGATAGGAAATTTCTTGCTACGGAGCTTACAGAATCCCGCTGCGGGTGTGCACTATGTGCCCATATTTTAAGTAAAACTTCTTACTTTCGTCTGTCTGTCCGTCTGAGGACTCCATTCGGGTACCTCTATCCACGTGCCCAGTTTGGTTCCAATCGACCCATAATTAAGAAAAATCCTGATGATTTTGTCCATTTAGAGGCAACGGTTTGAAACGTCGAGGGCGCCATTCTGTAGCCCGTCCCCAATTATGCCGAAATCGTCCCACATTTTTCTTCAATATCGAATCGTTAGTCCCACCCTGGTAAAGATGTAGACGAAACGTATGGTTTGGTTAGATCTGCAACCAACTACAACCTAACCTAACTTTACCTCTACACTCCATTGGTCGCACGACATCCACTGACGGATGACATCAACTGACGTTTCTTGCGTCAAAACTGTCACAGTGTGTCAAGTTGGCATTGGTCCAATGTATCGACATACCAAATTACATTTAAATCGGATGATTTTTTTATTCCATTCATTGATGATGGGGTTTCGTAGTGCACGAAACCTCGTACAAATATTACAAAAAGATAGGGCTACAGTTCCGCGTTTCGGCTCCCTAGCTCACATAGAGCACGAGTTACGACGCACCAAGATCGATAGCATTTTTTTGACGCCTCACGTAACGCTAGCTCATGTCGCGGCCTTGAATTCTTGCTCCCATCGCGAGTAAAGTTTAATTTCAAAAAGCAATGTAACGACATGTGTGACGATATTAAGCGAAACACAGGCAAATATAATCTAGCAGCAATTCTTGATTAACAAAAATAAACAGGCCGTGTACAATAGAAGATATATTATTAAGTTTTTAACAATGTACAGTCTTAACTTATAAATAAAAAGATGATTTTGTATGCCTATTTAAACTTCTTCCAATATTTTAAAATTTCACTAATAATCAGTTAATATTTAGATTGCTTCTGTTTCAGCACAGCTTGGACACACTTTGCCATTGTTGGTGAAGCCCGACTTATAGAATCTGTCATATAATAGTCCTGTAATTCTTTCAATTTAACGTCAAAGGGTGTGTTGTCGATCTGCGTTTTAATACTCTAAAATATATTTTAAAATTTTAAATCAATATAATGTATTCCTGTTAAATACACAACCTTGGATAAAGCTTCGGCTTGTTTGAAGAAATTCGCATTTTCGGCTGCTCCGTATCGAGTTAAATGAGGCGCAACTTCATCAAGTCTGTCTCTAATTTCGTTCAAGTTGTCGTAAGGCAGCGTTGCTCCAACGATTTCAGAAAGGGCTCTGATTATTTTCCAGTCTTCTCTGGCCCTGCCAGGAGGCGACACGGCGACGAGGGTTTGTTGTGCTCTGCCTTCAGTATTTACATATGTAGCTTGTTTTTCTGTGTAGGCCGCCCCTGGTAAGATGGCATCTGCCACAGCTGCTCCGTGGTCACCGTGATGTCCTAGAATTTATAAATCATGTATACTTTTTTCATTTTCAAATATTTCAAATATTTACCCAAATAAATAATGAAGCCATCATTAGGTAAATCTGATTTTTCAATTGATGCTTCATCTGCGCCCAGCAGAAGTAATACCTTAGGGTTGAGTTCCCTAATTTTATCAACTCCTGGGGTGTATCCAATATCCAATGCAGCAACCTATAAACGAATGAATTTACAAATCAATTTAGATACCCAATAGGTATAAAATCATTCAATGTTAAGAGAAATATAATGGACGAGAGAGGTTATTCATTTAGGGTGATAAAGTTGTACAATATAGTCATATATCCGCTAACAACCAATAATAGCAAATAAAAAATCGCACATTTACCATAAAAATCTAATATGTATCACTTATGGTTTAAATCGAGGTGGGTTTAAAATGAGGAATTTTAGGAATAGAACTCTGTATATTTTATTACATCTCTTTTCATATAGCCTAAAATTCTAAATTCAATAATACAGAGTAACCTAAAATTCCGAAAACGTTCTATATCAGGTACTTGGCTTCAAATTTCACTCCATTTTTTTTAGAAAATACACGGGCAATATGCTGCGCACGTTTAAAAAATATTTATGAATCAATTTTTTATTTGTTACAGTTTATCTGGTAAAAAATTAAACTCTCACATAAAAATATTATTTTTTCGACTGACTCGAATAAAAGAGTACTAACCTGACTTGCAACTTTGTGTAAAACATTTAATACTTTCCAATTTTCTACTTCAGGGCTTGTACTAGCTGAAAGTTTCTGAACAGCAGATAAAATAGCACCCCCGTCTACTCTTTCTAACACTTCTGATCCTACAATAATTAGTGGTTTCTTTGCAGATTTTAATTTCTTACTGACTTCATGCTGCCCACTCACTAATTGTTGCAAAATACTGGGAGAATCACCTAGATGGGCATATTTATATCGCAGATCAACTTTTGGACCAATTAATGCTACCTATAAGGATAATTATTATAAATATTAATGACAATAAATCCAAAAAAAAAAATAACTAATCATTCATACATCAAGCTCATTATGAACATATCCTTTTCTAAGCCTAGAGTTCAACAAAGGTGCTTCAAGTCTTGGATTTGTACCAATCAAAAGAACAAAATCTGCTTCTTCAGCACCGGCTATCTTATTATTTAATAAATAGCTTGATCGAAGATCAGTTCCTGAACCATCTAAGGGAAAAGTATGTTCAGTACATAAAGCTTCTGAACCCACTCTATTAAGCAAATCTTTCACTGCCACAAGTACTTCTGCGTCTGCCAAACCTCCAGCTATTGCTCCAATACTAGAACCTAAAAGTCAATATTATGAAATTACTTGATTTAAATTTTGTTTAATAGTCTGTACCTGCATTTTTAATTTGCTTAGCAACTGTAAGTAAAGCTACTTCCCAATCAACAGGTTTTAATTCTCCCTTGCTATCTCTCAACATTGGTGTCACAAGTCGTTGCCTTTTTAATCCATCGTAGGAAAATCTAGATTTGTCCGGTAACCTGTAAAATATTTTTTGTTTAATAAATATCTTAAAAAATAATGTTAAAAATTGATAATTGAAGACTTGAACTAAATGCCAAAACATTCTATACATATCTCATAACCAACAACATAGAGGGTTTTCTCTGATGTTCTCTATGGGTATCTCGGAAACTACTGGAGATAGGGAGTCAGTTAAAAGGGAAAAGAAAAAAAAAAGTTTTGTGGCGTCATAAATATGCGCCTTTCAGATTTTTGAAAAAGTTTATGGCTTACTAGACATTTCGAAAAAAAAATTCGATTATTTTAAAAATGGTCCCAAATTCCATTATAATCTATTTCAGACAAAAAGTTTTCAGATAAAAGTTGTAGATAATCACATCCTTCATGAGATTGTCTTCTCTGTTTTTTCTAAAGCCTGCCATTTTTGACATATGACATTATATGTTTTTTTTAAATGTAAACCATAGTTGGCAGTAACTTTATAAAAAGCGTAATTTTTTAAGCTTTTCAGCGATAGAAGCTATAATACATATATATATATATATATATATATACAGGGTGTCCCAGAAATGAGTGCAGATATTTTAAGAGGTGGTAGATCTGGTCAAAATAAACATATTTTCTCTTTACCATTTTTAAAATAAATTGAAAATAACTGAGTTATTTAACTTTGAAAATTTAAAAAAATAATCGCAACATTTTGAGAACCGCCGGCAGATATTGCCAATGACATTATATGTTTTTTAAATGGAAACCATAGTTGGCCGTAACTTTATAAAAGCGTAATTTTTAAGCTTTTCAGCGATAGAAGCTATAATATATATATATATATATATATATATATATATATATATATATATATATATATATATATATATATATATATATATATATATATATATATATATATATATATATATATATATATATATATATATAATATATATATATATATATATATATATATATATATATATATATATATATATATATATATATATATATATATATATATATATATATATATATTATAGCTTCAATTAGTCCACCTCTTCTTATCCCAGATGATATAAATAATTTTTAACATTTCTTTTATTGTGGGGGTCATGTTGGAACGTTGGAACCACTTTTATTGATGCCAGTATATATATATAATATATATATATATATATATATATATAGTAGAGTATATATATATATATATATATTATATATATATATATATATATATATATTATAGCTTCAATTAGTCCACCTCTTCTTATCCCAGATGATATAAATAATTTTTAACATTTCTTTCATTGTGGGGGTCATGTTGGAACGTTGGAACCACTTTATTGATGCGCGAGTCTCTAAATTTAACTTTTCTAACATTCTAACATATCTTGAAAACCGTTCTCTAAAAAGCATAAGTAACGTTCATCGGTCAACGTATCTTCTAAACGCTTTTCTTCATTTGAAAAATTCATATTTACAATTTTTGTTTATTTTATTTACAAAGTTTGCATGTTACAGTTTGACATTTCTGAGAGCAACAGCGATTGAACGGCGATTCTCTCAGAAATGTCCATTCCATGGCTAAGTGAAATTGTTTAAAAATGATACGAATTGCCTATAACACAGTAACTTTTCGAAAGAAAAAAATATATTATAGCTTATATCGCTAAAAAGCTTAAAAAATGGCGCTTTTTATGAAGTCATGGCCAACTATGGTTTCCATTTAAAAAAAACATATGTTTGTGTCATATGTCAAAAATGACAGGCTTTAGAAAAAAACGGAGAACACAACCTTATAAGGATGTGATTATCTACAACTTTTATCTGAACACTTTTTTGTCTAAAATAGATTATAATGGAATTGGAAGAATTTTTAAAATAGCCGAATTTTGTTTTTTTTTCGAAATATCTAGTAAGCCATGAACTTTTTCAAAAACTTAGTAATTTATCTCCAGTAGTTTCCGAGATAGTTCAATAGAGAACATCGTAGAAAACTCACCCTGTATATAAAGCGCTTAAGCTATTAATTGCAATGAAAAAAATTCTCAATAGAGACACCGCCCGTTCTTAAACATTGTTAGATGACAAAAAAAGTTGTTTATCTCGAAATAATAATTTTGGCATATAGAACATTATTTATTTGAAGTATTCAATTACCATTCTTCGTTGATTTCCTCATTAACTCTTGGCATAATTCTCATAACTTCTCCAGTTCGAGTAGAAACAACAATGTTTGAACCTACAGCATCTAGCACGTCGATAGAATCGATTTTTCTTATTTCCCATGGTCTAGCTGTAAAACTATATGGTTTGCTTGTGAGTGCTCCTACTGGACATAAATCTATTATATTTCCAGAGAGTTCAGAAAGAAACATTTTTTCCACGTAAGTTCCAACTTGCATATCATTTCCTCTTCCGGTTGTTCCTAAAATATACATATATTATGGATTTATTTGTCCTTGCTAGCTACGAAATAAATTTATATATTCACCTAAATCATCTACACCAGCTACTTCTGAAGCAAATCTGATGCATCTGGTGCAATGAATACATCTTGTCATAATTGTTTTTATGAGAGGACCTATATCTTTATCTTCTACAGCCCTTTTTCCAGAGTGATCAATGTCAGTAAACCTAATAAATATTATAAATTTTCTTATTTCTCTAAGCTACTAACATAAGAAAAAGTAAAGTAATGATTTCAGTTAACGTCTCCTTTTTGCTGCCAGGGCTAATCTGGACGGGGCCTACTTTGTTTACGCGGAATCCGAACCGCGGTCCTCGGCCATATCATGGTCAGTGGCCTACCGACTTAGGAAGTGTCTAAATTAACTCTTAACTCACGAGATATCCGATCTCATCCGGCCTCGAACCGGCGCGAATGAGCAGTGTGTATCAATAGATTTTACACTTTTCCCTTGGACAACAGCACGATACAGAGTTTCGAACCGGTCACCCGTCCATCCACCAGTATCGCCTTACGTCACTTAACTTCGGTGTTCTAATGGGAACCGGTGTTTCAACGTAGCTAGGCCGTTGCCACACTAACATAAGAGTTTCTTGCCTTATAACTGCTAATATAGAAATTAATTCCACACTGTGTTCGTCATAATGTGGATCAACTTGCTCTCACTTTCGGAGTCCTACTCCATCATCAGGTGAGCTTGGGCCGATTCCACAAAATGACGATTACAGCGCAGAGTATTTAAATACATATTAATAATAATAATTAATAAATTACCCCCTTAGGGCGAGAACACACGCGGCGGCTTTTCGGCGGCGCGGCGCGGCTGATGGTAATTCTAGCGGGACAAAACCTCAGTAGCGATGTTTGTGACTTAAATAAAATCGAAGAACGTAGCAAAATTGTCTAATATATAGTAACCATAGAGTTAAATTTATTTATTTATTAAGAACTTATAATTCATTAACAAATAAATAAATACAAGATAATAAAACCATATTATTCGTACATGACGCATAAACCGTATTGTAAACTATTGCCAAATAAATAAAATTATGATACAAGGTGAAGTACTTGAAATGTCTACTATTTATTCTTATCAGTACACATTTTTAGATTTATTTTTAACAAGACAGTTTTGTCCCGCTAGAATGAGCATCCAACGCACTGTGCGCCGAGAGTTGTGCCCATAGACAAACTAACAAAAGCAAGACGCGTCAACGCTGTACTGCAAAACGGTAACAAGTTTGATAAGAGTTTATTACCGCGCTTGCGTCAACTGGCCTTTTAGACGAGGACGGTTTACTTATGGATTGTGTATTTTGTAGTAGCCTTTTAGACAAGGATGTTTAATTAAAAAGCGTTTATTAAAATCAAATAAATTTATTTCCATCGGTAAAATAAACAATAATTTCTGGACATAACAGATATAAAAACAAAAGTTAAATAAACGAAAACGTATTTCTCTTATTAAAATAACAAAAAAGATGATAAAAAAAACAGTTATGGTAAACGAAATAAAAGCATTATTCTTCAAAAGGTACAAAAAAATAATTATGTATATTATAATATTAATAATAGGAACAACAAGAAACATCTTAAAAATATAAAACTTTTTCAAATATAAAACAAAAACATAAACTTCACATTTTCACAAGAATTTGCAAAAATATTAACATTTCGAGTCTATTATAAAATATAAAGCACGAAAATTCAAATCATAAAAAGATTAAAAAGATAAAGATTCTTATAACTTACAGTCAATTTGTAGGACCTTCGTTTTGTCTACGTTAGCGATGTAATCACAATAATATGTAAATCAAACAAATAAATAAATACAAGGATAACAAAACCATATTATTCATTACATGACGCATAAACCGTATCTGTAAACTATTGCCAAATAAATAAGATTATGATACAAGGTGAAGTACTTGAAAAGTCTACTATTTATTCTTATCAGTACACATTTTTAGATTTATTTTTAACAAAGACAGTTTTGTCCCGCTAGAATGAGCATCCAACGCACTGTGCGCCGAGAGTTGTGCCGCCTGCCTAGGCTCTTCAATGGTACAAGACACACGGGGGTGGCCGCCGAGCACAAGCGGCTAAGAACAATGATGGGCCGCCGCCGCCTATAAGCCGCCTCGTTTATTCTCAGCCTAATAGAATACTGGGGAATGCCGAAAATCCTAATTTATACAACAAACTAAGGGGCGGTAATTTTCCGGTGTTATTTTTGTGGTTAGTTAAATGTTTATTATACAGGGTCGCTGATATGTATGGGAACAGTCGATTATTATGTAAAATATAAGAGGTACCGCTAAAAGTTAAATATAAAAGTTATAAGGTTTTTAAATATCTATTAGCGGGTAATAAATTTAAGTATACAGGGTCGGTCATAAAGTCGTGGCACATCAAAGTTTCATTTTTTTTAAATAAAACCCCTGTATATTATTGCATATTTCGGTTTTTCCCTCAATGGGCTCTTTCACTATATTTTGGAATTAGCATAATTGAATAGAGCAATAAATTCTATAATTCTCTGCTATCTCACTTTCGGAAAATTTGAAGTCGTTCTTAAGAAAATAGATAAAAACAAAAAAGCCCAGAATAAAAATCCACACTTTATTTTTAATACGTCACACCTCGCATATTGAAAAGCGGCAACACGGCCGGGCCACCATGCTGACCCACCACCACCTCCACACAAGGCCATTCAACCTCTTCCAATATGGCGGAGATAGAAGTGCTTTACTTGGCGCGTATTTTAAAACCTGTTTTATTTCCAAATAGACATTTTTCACACAAATGTCGGGTTAGATTACGTAATATTTCACTAAATTTTTTTTAATATACAGGGAGTCTAAAGCTCTCCACATGTATGGAATTTTTTGTATTATTATTACTTTTATGAAAACATCAGTTAGTTACTTTTGGTCTGTTTTCTCAGAAAATAGGTAGGTAGTAAGTGTGTAAATATTCAAACTTGAGGTAGCATATATAGGGTGTTCAAAATCATCGGAAAAAGAAATAACCAGAAATATATGACAAAAATAGCAATATAAACTAAATATTCAATTGCAAACACTTACCTACCATAGTTTAGAATTTACTGCACGTTTGATAAATATATACTATTATGGACAGTATAGGAAGTTACTTGTCTTAGAAAAAGCCTTGGTAAATGCTCTTGGAATTATAAACTACACTGGCTTGGGTCAAAAAATATGGAATATTTTTCTTATGTTTAACAGCATTACACAAATGGGAATAAATTTAAACTATAATAGGTGAGGATAACTAAAAAATATAATATGTGTTTCAAGATTTTATATAGAAAAAAAAAACTAAATACCTTTTTATAACGTCATTCCTTTTTTGCATAGTTCTTCAATAAAATATTGGATATTCTGAACAAGATGGATTTAATAATAAATTCTGACGTATGTGAGGGGCAATTGTGACTTAAAAAGACATTACATCCAGGCAGGCCATTTATATTTTTAAATGTGAATGTTGTCAATATCTTTCTGTAATCTTTTTTGATGTAAAAAGCTTGATTATTCTTTCAATATTTTACTTATAGTGAGGTAAGTGTAAGCAGTAGCCATAACTACATCCTCACTAGGGTAACAGAGGTTTTGGCCTTTGGCCTTTTGAGGCATATTTATTGCACTTCTTACCCGAGAACTACTAGTAGAAGTGAAATTATTTATCTCTTTTAATAGATGTCAACCATTTTTTACGAAGCTCGTCATTTTTTGGGGAATATAAAAGCAGAAACCTTGGGACCTCCTCTATAATTCTCGTGACAATTTGGAACAGAGCAAGTAAAAGGTATGCTACAATAAAATGTTAATACCTATCTTTTGATTATTGTAAGTAACCATTATAAAGTACTATGCAGACTGGCGGTGAAGGCTCATTTAGGTGTCTTGATAAATACTTCTAGTTATTACCTTAAAATAATTAATAATAGAGGAGTACAACAAGCACAAAAGTTTGAAGTTCCCTATGTGGAATGTCTGGTTTGGATTTTTATTACACTGTTATTTTATCACAATTTTCTGATCACACTATGCACTGAATACTAAGAACTAAACAAACGTGTTGCAGAAGCACAACAAACTAGAGATAATTAATTATTTCTGATATGCAATCGGAAAATAGAGAATTACGACAAGCACAAAAGTTTGAAGTTCCCTATGGAATGTCTGGTTTGGATTTTTATTACACTGTTATTTTATCACAATTTTCTGATCACACAATGCACTGAACACTAAGAACTAAACAAACGTGTTGCAGAAGCACAACAAACTAGAGATAATTAATTATTTCTGATATGCAATCGGAACGAGAAACCACTACCGGCTTTTCAGGTTAAAGGTAAACAATTTAATAATGCGCTGCCTTCGTCGCCATATTTGCCTTGCCCATATCATGTTGATTGGCCTTGAGTTGAGGTGGTGCTGGTCAAATCAAATCGCAATGTTGCCAGTTGTTGTTGGCTGGTGATTGGGCGTATTTTTCATACGTCAATTGACGCTTTAAAATTATTTTAAATTAAAGCAATTTTGAGGACCTATAAAAAAATTATTCAATGTCATGGAACTATTTTTTTGGATAAATATACTGAAAATAGTCTTCTATTTCAGATTTTGTCCTTGAATTGGGTATTTTATTTTTTGTGAAAGAGCCCATTCTAAGCAAAAATGGAGATACACACAATGTACCTCAAAACAACTGCTTCCGAGTTATTGACTTTTAAAAATATCACTTAAACAATTCGATTTAACTACATAATTACGATGTATTTGGTTTCATTTTACTTAATATTTGACATTTCAAGTTCAAGCATATACAGGGTGGTCGGAACTGTACTCCGGAAACTTCGGCAGCATATTCTGCAGGTAAAAAAGTTCGTATTAATGTAGACCCTAAAATGCTTAGTTTCGGAAATACAGGGTGTAGAAGTTTAATTTTGGTTTCGATTTTTTTCCAAATAATTTCTGAAGTAACGTCACTATTTGGATGAAAATTGGTGTCTGGAAGTTTTTTGACATGAGAAATTTGATTTTGATGTCAATATGACTCCCATTTGTAGGGGCGCCACCTACATGTGTTTTAACTATGTTGAAGAGTAATAACTTTTCGTCCTTTCCTGTATAAGACTACTGAGTGAAAAAATATACATTTCCGTGACATTCTACGTAAAAATATCTCTTGGTAAAAATCGCTACGAGCAACCGTTCTCAAGATATTTAGAATAGAAATAGTCAATACATGTCATTATTGACAAAAAATAAACACGTTGTGTAGATAGTTATTTGACTAAAATAATAAATTCGGAAATTTTTTATTTTTTTTAAATTAACCATAATTTTTTCGGCGAAAAAATGATGATAAAACAGTTTCTGTGGAACTGTTGGCACAAAAACATTTCAAATTTATGATTTCAGTCTAATAACTATTTAGTCAACATGTTTAATTTATGTCAATGATGACAGGTATTGATAATTTAAATTAAAAATATCTCGAGAACCATTACTCGTAGCGATTTTTACCAAGAGACCTTTTTTACGTAAAAAAAGTCGTAAATGTATATTTTTACTCAGTAGATTTATACAGGTACGGACGAAAAGTAGAATTTTAAATAGAAATGAAACTTCTATACTCTATATCTCCAAAACTAAGCATTTTAGGACATACATTTATACGAACGTTTTTACTTATTTTTATCTGCAGAATATGCTGCCAAAGTTTCCGGAATACAGTTCGGACCATCCTGTATAGATGTATAAAATGAGATTATATCAAGTCTGGAAATTACAAAATTTTCGTTGAAGGAAATTGTTGAATTTAGGTACATTATGTTGTATTACTATTATAATGTACCTAAAGTCAACAATTTCCGAATTATGAAGTTTTGATTTTGAAATGTTAAACGAAAATTTTATAATTTCCAGACTTGATATAAATCTCATTTTATACATCTGTAAATGCCAACTTGAAAACTAATGTCAAATATTAATAAGTATCACAGTTTCCGCAGAATGGCATCGTTAAATGAACCCAAACACATCGAAATTAATTATATCAAATTGTTTAAGTGATATTTTTGAAAGTCAATAACTCGGAAACGGTTGGTTTGAGGTACATTGTGTGTATTGCGATTTTTGCTTAGAATCGAGGGAAGAACCGAAATATGCAATAATATACAGGGGGGTCCATTTAAAAGAATGAGACTTCGATGTGCCACGACTTTATGAGCGAACCCTATAACTTTTATATTTAACTTTTTGCGGTACCTCTTATATTTTATCTAATAATCGACTGTCCCTATACATATCAGCGACCCTGTATAATACGGTGTATTATGCCGTATGATCGAAAAAACGGCGTCAAAGACGGCTAGGGAATGACAATTGATAATAATAATTTTAGCGAAGTCAATCTATAGATGTGATTTACTTAAATTGAGATAAAACTAGTCAAAAATTAATATTAATTATAGAAAGATTAAAAAAGATAGAACGTTTCCAGATATACAAATCTATTTCCAAAAAAAATAATTATACACCACCATAAAATTTTTTCTAAAATTTTATGGTGGGTTCATATGCTTCCGATCTTAGCCCTAATACATTAATTAACATTAGTCCGAACCCCAAAAATATAAATGAACTTTAACGAACGCCAGCGTTCATGCTTCCATTCAGAGTTGCAAGTTCACAGAAAACTTACGTCTTTTTTTGACTAAATCATTTTAATGACTTAAGTCATTCAATTTTAAGTCATTTTTCGAAAGCTGACTTAAGACTTAAAATTTAAGTCTTTTTCAAAATGATTTGTGATTTAGATCATTATTCCGAAATAGAAAAAGATTTAAGTGTTTTTAGAAAAGACTTAGTAAGTCACTAAACAGCCAAATTCTTCAAATCAGTTAAACAATATGTAGGTGGTGCCCTCTACAAGTAGGAGTCATATTGACATTAAAATCAAATTTCTCATGTCAAAAAACTCCTTTCTTTCATCAAAAAAAAACAAACTTTCATCCAAATAGTAACTTTACTTCAGAAATTATTTGGAAAAAATTGAAATAAAAATGAAACTTCTACACCCTGTATCTCCGAAACTAAGCATTTTAGGACATACATTTATACAAAGTTTCTTACTTGTTTTTATCTGCAGAATATGCTGCCGAAGTTTCCGGAATACAGTTCGGACCACTCTGTATTCTCAGGGAATGCTAATTCAAAACTGAATCGCGCATGCTCAAAAGTAGAGGTTTTCAGAATTCTCAAAATAAATCTGTCACGTTGAATTTGACGGTTTATAAATGTTATTAAATTATGTATTTTTTGGCCTAGAAATTATTAATGTAAAAATTAGTTTATCTAGTATTAAGAATTTTAAAAATAATTGTGAATTTATTTTCTTAAGACAAGTAGGAGAAGTATGAACAGCATTTTCTTAAGTTCTTAAGATTAATTTCTTAGGGTTAATGTGAAGGGTGAAGTTAGGACTAATTCATGAAGTATCCCTCCATTAAACTACACCATTTAAAAATAATTTTTACTCAGTATAAAAAAATACAACCTTCTTAAGGTCAACTGGCAGTAAGTGCCATTAAAAAATAAAGAATACATGCCAAGTAACGACGTCAAGGGCTTGACCTCACCAAAATTATCATCGATTCTCATTTCCAACCATCTTAGACGCCGTTTTTTTTTCCATTGTATGGTGTATAAATACTATAAAGAAAATACTATTTTTGTAAAGAGATGCTATTTAGACAAAAATAATCACTTTAAAAAAAATTAAAAAATATTTATATAGGGCACATTTGTTAAGGGTGAATGTTTCCTCAGCACAAATGGTAAAACAATGCTAATCATACCTAGATCTATCAGATCCAAAAGCCATACTCTGATCTTGCAAATCACATTCCCCACCTTGATCACAAATAGGACAATCTAATGGATGGTTTACTAATAAAAATTCCATTATTCCCTCTCTAGCTTTTTTGGTTAATTCTGAGTCTGTCTTTATGCGCCAACCTTTAATAACATCATAAATAACTACGAACAAAATAAGTAGTAACTTCAAATACCTTTCATTACAGGCATAGCGCATGCAGCTACTGGTTTTGGACTCTTTTCAACTTCAACCAAACACATTCTGCAATTACCAGCGACTGCCAATCTTTCATGATAACAAAAACGTGGAATTTCTACTCCGACTAATGCTGCAGCCTTAAAATTTGTATTGTTCATATTTAACACTTTGATTAAGATATAAAACAGGCTTTAAGTATATATACCTTACCTGTAGTACTGTTGTTCCTGGCTCTACTTGAACTGGAATATCATCAATAAATACTTCAATTTTTTCAGGCTTTTTAGCAGCCTGATCGCTGGCAGATCTTGTAATAAGAGCGATATGTTTGGGGCTGAGTTGAGCCCCATTTAATACCTTTGTTAAAGATTGTCGCAGCATAATATACCTGAAATATATTTGAAAAGTTGGCAGCCTTATGAAAGCTATAGGCAGTTGACAAATTATATAACAATCGTACACATAACCTGTATAAAATAATACTAATGTGTATTAATTAACAGAATGCTAACACTATTTGTAATATAATCAGTTTCAACTGTTTTCTAATATATTAAATACCTTATTTTTTCCTCAATAATTTTTTAATAAATGTCAAACAGCTAAAACTTTAGACAACCACCGACACACTCCATAGATTATATTTATAGATTGTGTGACGGTATGGTGACGGTTCGCCGATTATGCTGGCCATAGAAAAATAAATACTAACAGAAGTTGTGTGCTTGTGTTGTGTGCTGTGTCTGGTCAAAGGTCTGGTGCTGTGGCTACTTCGGCATATCAGAGATATAGATCCTATAGATCCTATAGATCCACAGTTATAGCACGGCATTGTTTTATGTGCCGTGGTTATACATAGATCCAGAGATATAGACCTCCATATCTCTGGTGCTGTCAAATTACTTGTATCTTTGGCATATTTTTGGTTTTGTTTTGACATAGATGTCAATCACATCTGATAACATATGATAGTTAAAAACATATTTAAAAACAAATATTACAAATACAACAAATAACTTATAGTTTCCCTAGGTTTCACATATAAATACTAAAAGAAACGCGTAGAATAAATATTAAACGACAGTCACGAGGGATTTACATTTTATTTTTTTAATTGCAAAAAATTGATATCGCCCTTCACGGAATTTGCTGGCGAATACTATACCTTACAAACAATATTCATAAAATACTGAAACATGTCTATTGAGAGTCATAGTCACCACATTTTAGACCAATATAGAAGCATTTCTAATAAACTTAAGAAGTAAGGAAATATACTTTTAGCAAGCAATTAAAATAAACTTTAATTCCTTAGGAGATTTTTGAGAAAAACCAACGAAACAGAGGGTGCAGAATCCTTTGCAGGTTTAGCACAATGTTGCGAATCTCAAGATTTACATTCATATGCTGCAATGGGATGGACAGCAGCAGCAAGATGTGAAGGAGCTTTAGGGAATACAATTAGGGAAACTTCCTATTTATTAAGAGCTGGAAGACAGTTTCTACAAAGTGAAGAAAGTGATTTTAAGACGGGTTGTATAAGTGTACCAACAGAGAATCTACAGGTTGTATTTTCATTGTATTTACTACTTGGCATTTACTAACATAAAATAAATATAGGCAGGCCTCAGCTCATATATACATGCATGTACAAGATATCCAGAAGATTCTGTTATACCTACAGGTTTATATCTGGAATTAGGAGAGTTTTTAAATAGAATTGGTCATATAGAACTTACAGAAACATTTTTAAGAACGGCAGTTCAAGTATCACAGCAGAAATATGACACAAACATACATTGTTTAGATCTGTTAGCTTCACATTTTACATACACAGGTATTTTTTAATATATTCATACAATTTTTATTCATATCAAGTATTTTTAGGAGATTATGTGTCAGCTTTACAAACCTACCAAGAAATGGTTAAAATATTATTGAACTTACCAAATAATGGCTACAGGTGTGATGTTTTATTAAAATGCGAAGTAAATTCAGTTTTTATTTTGCTAATTTTAAAACCCAGTACGCAGAATATTACTCCAAACTTGGTTAAAGTTTTAGAGAAATATACTTGGGGAGATAAATCTGACAGTGTCGTCCAGGGTAAATTATAATATTTTATAAATGTTTTAAAATTAATTTCTTCTTTTAAGCATGCCAGATGTCAGAAAATTTGTTCATACTAATGCAATCATTAGTCATTATATGTCAGTCATTGGATACAAGTAGCTTACAACATTTGGAATCAGAATTTTGGCGCTTTTTATCTAGCGACCAAAAGGATTTGTTAAGAATATTGGTTAGATTATATACATAGGATCTTAATAAAGTTGTTAATTATCTATTGTTTTTCTCTTACCTGAGATTAAATGTAAAATTATCTATTAAAATATTATAGTTATGCATCAATTATTAATTATTATACATATTATGGTGTAAGAAACATGGAAAAATTTTGTTTAATACAACCCTGTTCTATCAAATTTCATGCCTAGTGCGCGTGCCCAATCGATTATTCCGAATTCTTAAAAATGTCAGTGCAATCTCTGGTGCAATGTTTTGAGTAGCGATTTCTTGTATTTTTTCGGAAAGTGCAATCAAAAAGAGTAAGTTTTTATTCAAAAGTAAATTCTTTACTACCTCTAGAACATATTGTAATTAAACGTCTTAATGAGCTCACAATTTAAACTTTAAATATGAATATGAAAAATGTTAGTTGTTGATTTTATTAGGACCGTACTAACATATTTTAATTTTAGTTCCTTAAAAAATACCTATAAAATAATTAAAATATGTTTTTTATTAAATTTTGTGAATTGTGAGTATTGCTACTAACATATTGCGGAAATATTTATGCGAAGGTGTAGGTTAAATAACATGACATAGATACGTTAATGTAAAATCTGGACATGATCTGGACTTCATTGATTTTTCACTAGAGTTCAAGACACATAATAATATGATCTTTGCATATGATTAATTCAATAGTTTTTTTCTTACTTTCTTTAAGTTAAGTTGTCGCATAATTGATATTTATCCCTAAAATATTTGAATTAAAAAAACTTGTGTGTGCACTATGTGCGCGTATTTGAAGCAAAAATGTTTACCACTATACTTCTTACTTCCGTCAAAGATTACATAGGCTTCCGTCTGTCTGTCTGAGGTAAAGTCTGAGGCTGCGTTCAGATATTCAGGGTAGATGCACTCCGGATATAAAATTTACGTCCGTTAACGTTCTAAAATAAAGGATATTCTTATAGAGAGAGACATCTTAATATAATTTTAATGTAGTGGAATAAGAACAAACAACTCTAGGTTGTTACGTCACGTCCAAACAGACTGTCGTCCGCAATACCTGAACGCAGCCTGAGGGTGCTAGGGTTGCCACCTGTTTTTTTTGAAAAGGACAATCCATTTTTAGAACAAATTGTACTTTTTTTTATCTAAAAAGTCCTTTTTATTTACGTATTTTTCCTGGGAAAACTTATCTACAGCGACCACCAATATTCCTTTCATCCAAATTTAAAAAGACATGTTATAATACTTATAAATAATGTTTTTATTTCAAACGTTACAAAAGTATTAATTTTTCCGACGTTATTGCAATATAAAAAAGTCATTTTAAGGCCTAGGTATAAAGTAAAGCACTTTTACGCCTAAACACAAAAATACGATAATATATAATGTATATTATAATAAAATTATATAAGGATTCTTGCCACTTAACTGCTGATATAGAAATCTAATTCTACGCTGTGTTTGTCATAATGCGGATCAACCTGCTCTCACTACCGGTTTCGGAGCCCTACTCCATCATCAGGTGAGCTTGGGCAGATCCACAAAATGACAACCACAGCGCAGAGATAGTTAATTCCGACTTGTCGGAATGTGTCGGTTAGATATTAAGTCCCGAATAGCTATTTCCCGTTCGGGACTCAATATCTAACCGACACATTCCGACAAGTCGGAATTAACTATCTCTGCGACTGTGGTTGTCATTTTGTGGATCTGCCCAAGCTCACCTGATGATGGAGTAGGGCTCCGAAACCGGTAGTGAGAGTAGGTTGATCCGTATTATTTATTTATTTATTTATTTATTTATTCTACAACACTCTACAGCTTACGCCAATTACAGAGTGGGTTACACACAAAAAAAAATTCAATACAAAATAATTAAATTAAACAAAAAATAACATCAATGAGAAGAAATACATATCAAATGAAAAGAACAACAACAATATAAACCAAGAAAACCACTAAACTGGAACTAACAACCGAAACCAAACTGCAGCTGAAAATATCAAAATTACACTGGATATAAATTTATAGCTGCATCCTGCATACGTTTCAATGGCGAATATTTACTTATACATTTGTGCGCGAGGAGGCCACATAAAATGTAAAGCTATACCGAAACTTCCGACGTGGGACCAGAAAATTGATTTGACTGAGAACATCCGGACTATCAATTTCATTATGTAATAACTTGTATAAAAATTTCAGCTCTGAATTTGTCCGTCGAACCTCCAAGGAATCTAGAGAATGTTTCTGCAATAAAGAGCTGTGACAGCAGCCAATTTGCGGGTAAACCCCATCAGTTCTGATGATTCATTATGACAAACACAGCGTAGAATTAAATTTCTATATCAGCAGTTAAGTGGCAAGAATCCTTATATAATTTTATTATATATACCTATACTGCCAGAAATTTGTTTTTTATTTTATGTATATTATTAAACTGCATTACTTAAGTGTCAAATTCAACGAATGTAACCATAATTTCTCGATATACATATAATTACTTCCAGGGTATTCCGTCCAATTCAAACCAAATCTTTTTATATTATTTGCAACGTTGGAATTTTTTAAAGAATTGTTTGTGAGGGTTTGAAAAAAATAGCATGTTCTATTCGGGGTATTCGGGGTTCCCCCGGTCCTTTTTCATAGTCCAATGACCTTTTTTTTTACTTTGCATAAAGTCGGCAACCCTAGAGGGTGCATCCATACCATCGTAGGAAAAGCGGAACGGCGTATTGGCGTATCGATCTCCAGCAATTTTATTGGCTGAAATTTTTGACAGATGAATTTTCGAAAAATTTCAGCCAATAGAATTGCTGAATATCGATACGCCGTTCCGCTTTTTCTACGATGATTTAGAAGAATCGGTTCGAAACGTCGAGGGCGTCATCTGTAGCCCGCCCCAATTATGCCGAAATCGACCCATATTTTTCTTCAATATCAAATCGTTAGTCCCACCCTGATGAAGATGTAAACGAAACGTCGCGTCGCGTCGTATCCAACTTTGCAGGGTGGGACCGTGTGCATCGTCGCGCACATAGCCTACCCACCAAATTTGGTCGCGTTTGGACGACACCAACTTCTGACGTTTCTTACGTTAAAACTAACTGTCACAGTGACACGTGTCGTATACGGTCAAGTTGGCCTTGGTCCAATCTATCGACATACCAAATTTCATTTAAATCGGACTATTTTTTATTTGATTCATTGATGATGGGGTTTCGTAGTGCACGAAACGTCGTCAAAATATCATGAAAAGATGGGGATCCCATCTACATTCCGAGTTTCAGCCCCCTAGCTCACATAGGGTCCAAGTTACGACACTCCAAGATCGTTACCACTTTTCCTCCCAACGTCTCGTGTGTCACGGCTTTCAATTTTTACTCCCATCGTGCGTAAAGAAGTTTCGCTTCAATAAAATTTCTTCCTCCTACCTCTACTTAATGAGATAAATGTTCGAATGATTATACCGGGTGCGTCTCAAAAGTAGCTCACCCCTATAACTTTTTTATTTTTTCAGATAAAAAACGAGATTTGGTATGTTAGTATATTACATAAATTAGGATTGATTCACGTATTCAATTGTTTGTGGTCACTTCCTGTTTCACCGGAAATGACTACAACTTTTGATATTTAAACGGCACCCTCGGTATTTTATTTCTTTATTCGATAGAAAATGACATTCTGAATAGAATGACATATCATATGTCAACTTTTGACATTCTCGCTTAAAACAAAATTCAATCTAAAGTCCCATGGTTATGTTAAAAACGCTAATTCTTAATCAAGGAGCCTTGGAAAAATAGATTTGATTGCTTAATGTTTTTAGTGTCTTGTCCTAGCCCGTTAGAAAATACTCAAATCGTATTTTTAATCATATCTCAATTTTTTTGAATGGAACGAGGGTGGCTCATTGGCATATTTGGAAAAATCATTTTTTTACGAATAATTTGATACCACACTCTTGGTATTTCGAATCAAATTTTCATTACGAACCACAAGTTATAATTTCAAATAGACCATTTGCGAAAATGTAAAAAGTTGGGAGAGTTGTCAATCTATTCAGACTGTTATTTTCTATCGATTAAAGTAAAAAAGTAAGGAGGGTGCCATTTAAAAATCAAAAGTTGTAGTGATTTCCGGTGAAACAGGAAGTGACTGAAAACAATTGAATACGTCAATCGATCCTAATTTATGTCATATACTAAACATACCAAATATCGTTTTTTTAACTGTAAAAATAAAAAAGTTATAGGGGTGAGCTACTTTTGAGACGCACCCGGTATTATTGTTTACTATAATTTATTTTAAGTAAATTAATGATAAAAATAATATTATTAACAGATGAAGAGGTAAAAAATCCACCACACATTTTTCTTAATAAATTAATGTGTATTCATTTTTGTTTTTATTAAATAAAAAGAATGTTAATATTGCTTTTAAACTAAAAGAAGGATAAAACCAATTAATGAGCAATACAATATTTATCTTAAATAAGTTTTTCATATTTTCTAACAGCGCTTTCACATAGAGCGGACCGTCCGCGACTTCGAGCAAGTACCATGAGCTTATATGAACAATTTCACATGGGTCGCGTATGCTCCGTCAGGATGAGCTATATTGAAAAAACATCAGCGCGGACGCTCCGCGCGTACGGTCCGCTCCATCTGAAAGCGCTGTTATTTAGTATATTATACAGGGTGGTCCGAATTGTATTCCGGAAACATCGGCAGCTTATTCTGCATATAAAAATAAGTAAAAAAGTTCGTATAAATGTATGTCCTAAAATGCTTAGTTTCGGAGATATAGGGTCTAGACGTTTCATTTTTATTTCGATTTTTTCAAAATAATTTCTGAAGTAACGTCAATATTTGGATGTAAATTGGTGTCTGGGAGTTTTTTGACCTGATAAATTTGATTTTGATATCAATATGATTCCTACTTGTAGGGGACGCCACCTACATATTTTTTAACTAGCTTGAAGAGTAATAACTTTTCGTCCGTACCTGTATAAAACTACTGAGTAAAAAAATATACATTTACGACGTTTTTTACGTAAAAAAGGTATCTTGGTAAAAATCCCAACGAGTAAGGTTATCGAGATATTTGCAATCTAAATTATCAATACCTGTCATCATTGACATAAATTAAACATGTTAATTAAAGAGTTGTTAGACTGAAATCAAAAATTCGACATGTTTTTGTGTCAAAAGTTTAACAAAAACTGTTTTATCGTTTTTTTAAAAAAATATAATTAATTTAAGTAAAGAAAAAATAAAAAGTTTCCAAATTTATCACTTGAGTCAAATAACTATCTACTCAACGTGTTTATTTTTTGTCAATAATGACATGTATTGACTATTTCCATTCTTAATATCTTGAGAACGGTTGCACGTAGCGATTTTTATGAAGAGACATTTTTTACGTAAAAAATTGCGGAAAAGTATAATATATTTAGTAGTTTTATACGGGTAAGTTATTACACTTCAAAACAGTTTAAACACATGTAGGTGGCGCCCCCTACAAATAGGAGTCATATTGACATCAAAATCAAATTTCTCATGTCAAAAAACAACCAGACGTTAATTTTCATCCAAATATTGATGTTACTTCAGTAATTATTTAGAAAAAATCGAAATAAAAATGAAACTTCTACACCCTGTATCTCCGAAACTAATCATTTTAGGACGTACATTTATACGATTTTTTAAATTATTTTTATCCGTAGAAGTTTCCGGAATACAGTTCGGATCACCTTGTATTATTTAACCAAGATATAAATCCTTATATTTAAGTTTAAATGGTCGTTATACAATAATTTATAATTAATCAGTAATAATATCTTGTAAAATTTATAAATATTACTGTGAAGAAGAAGCTTTAAGACGAAGAATCTTAAAGCATAAGTAAGCATTTTCCTTTCCAACTTTGTTTTTTCAATACGTCTATGTACTTATTGATTTTTGTTCTGGATTCTAAAGGACAGGACCGTATTGATCGGGGCGGTCATGTGACCGGAATATTTCCTGCGCAATTTAATTTTCGTCGCCTACCCTCCGAAAAATTCTTGCGAAAGGTACGTCACACAGTTCGGGGTAAAGAGACGCAATGCTCTTTGAATTTGGTCGCGGTTTTGTCTTTTCCAGATAAAATGATTCATTCCAGTAGCGTTTAGTTGAATTTGAGCGAAGTTTGTTAATTACTATCGAATCGGCACGGTTTTTGATAAAGAGTGCGATGTAAGTATTGCTAATTTTGTTATTGACTTTTTCTATTCCTCCATCGTAGGGCGTAGGGTTGTGGTAGGGTAGACCTAGACTTTGTTACTGGGTAATAATCTCGGAAGACAAGCTTTATGTTGACCCGTTTTCTCGGTTGACTTTAACTATATTTAATTAAAAACTGAATATTGTATCACACAATTTAAATATAGATCGTAGATCTTGTAAGATAATACGGCGATGACCTTTTATTAAAACATAAAATCACAGATGGATGTACTCAATTATATATCAATTACATACATTTCTAAAAGATTGATAGATATTTTCGTACTGGACATATCTTATTTGAGAGGATACAAAATATTGTGACAAATTGAAGAGTACGCCTCTTCAATTTCCTCAATTTATATTGATATATTTCTATTTTAAGTAGGAACAATGGCAGCTTCTAATAAAATATAAATAAAGTTGGTGTTTATGGTGGTAGTTATAATATTAATATTTTAGTTTTATCGTTAGATATGTTTGTTTTGTGTGAATAATTTCTCATTTTTGATTGAAAAATGTATAAGCTAATTTGAAATTTGTTTCTCCGGGTCAAATAACTTTTCGTAGGAAGTAAGCAATAAGCACCGTTCGATCGAAAAAAAACGGCGTCCAGTTGGCTTGAAAATTAACATCGATGACATGCTCCTTATAATTTTACATATAAAATGACAGCGATATTCATTTTAGAGAACCCTTCAAACTCTAGTCGTCAGTTATTTAGCCATGATTTAGCCCGTATAATGTTTCTTATTTTTTAATGGCGCTTACTGCCAGTTGGCTATGAGGTTGTTATTTATTTTTAAATTGAGTAAAAAAAAATCAAACGTCACAAAAGTATTAATTTTTGGGACGTGATTGACAATATAAAAAAGTCATTTTAATTTTAACGCCTAAGCATAAAGCTTCATTCAGAACCTCGAAATCAGTGGAATAAATTAGTAGTTTCAATTAGCGTATAAATTTGTTCACCTAATTTTAACGTAAGCATTCAGAACGTCATAATTAGTGGTAGTAATTTTCAATTAGTGGAAAAAGTTAACGAACTTTTGACTTTTCCACTAATTATACTTCAAAATTTGCGATGAATGTCATTTTGGCCTTTGATTATCACCTGTCAAGAAAAATTTTGGTTAGAAATCAAAAGTTTATTGTTTTATAAATTAAATGTTATGCTTTCTCTATGGATACAACAGACTACCGCAAGCTGTTGCTAGGATATTTTATTAATTTTAATTGTGTTTTTTAGACATTGTGAATGATCGTATACTAAAAAGTATAAAGTGTAATTGAAACCACTAATTTATTCTACTAATTGGGAGGTTCTGAATGAAGCTTAAAAGTACAAAATTATATTTTTAAATTGACAAAGTGTCAAATTCAACGAGCCGCGAGCCGGGATCATAATTGTATAATTACTAATTAAAAAATGTCTATAACTATGTGGCGGATTCATCTCTCCAAAAAAATCCTTTATGGGTATTTTGCCACTGCACTGCAAGAAAAGTCTACAAAATAAAATAGTTATTTTTTGTAAACACTTCTGGCGTTAAACCTAAACGGATGCTGCTTGTCAGGAGTTATGTTTACAGTTATAAAAATTTGCGTAATAAAGAAAAAAATGCTTAACGTTTCGGAAAGTTTTCTCTGTGCAGTGGCGAAATACCCATAAAGGATTTTTTTTGGAGAGAATTACTAATTACTTACAACTTATAAGCAGGGGCACATATACGGGAGGGGTAATGGGGGTAATTACCCCTCCGAAGAAGAAATTTATGAATAAGATAAAATGCTTTACAAATAAAATTGTCACAAAAGAAGTTAACAATACCAATCAAAACAGAAAATCCAAACCTATCAAGGTATATTTCTTTCCACAGTCACAATATCTGTCAGAGAAAATATTATTTAAATTTAGTACTTTATTTAAATATTACCACTATCTCTCCCAGACTAACACTCTAGATGCGCCACTGCTTACAAGGTATTACTTTTAAATATGTTTATATTATTTGAAACGTTTAAAATTATTATTCAAACATTTATTTGTGACGTTTGAAAAAATAGCATGGTCTATTCGGAGTAAAAATGACTTTTTTGTGTATACGTGTGATATTGTGTATCATTTTTAGTCCTAATGAAACATTAGGTATACTATTAAATGGTTTAGTTTAAAATTCTAAAAAATCATTTTTTTGGAAATAAATTTGTATGTCTGGGAACGTTCTATACTTTTTTAATCCTTCTGACAGGTTTTCTGTCAATTATTAGTACATGACGTCTATAGATTGACTTCGCCAAAATTGTCATAGATTGTCATTCTTCAGCCGTTGTTTTTTTTTTGGGTCGTACAGTATTCGGCTATGCGTATTTCTTATTTGTCTTTCGATATCGAAATTCATTCGGTCACTCTTCCACAGTTTTAAAACAACCTTAGACAACTTTTGATGGCGCCTCTTAGTCGGTGGTCTATGAATCGAAAGCTGAGTCACGCGATGGAAGAATTTTAGGTGTTTAGATTACTGAGTGTCGACTCGCTAAAACTGACGTAACTAATTCAATATAAAACGTTGAAAATATGTTATTTCGCTGTCCAAACTGGATATCTCCGTTATTACTGAAGATAAATAAATATTTTCGCAAACGTTGGCCACTTTTTTGTGAAACTTTCGATCCTATAATCAAATTGGTCATAGTTTGACATTCTTCGTTTAGGAGATACAGGGCGAAATTAAAAATATTGCATTTTGGGGATCTCTTATCTCGGTTATCCTTATAGAACTGGTTTTTATACAGGGTCCGGTAATAGCGCGTCGGGCATCTGTAGCTCCTAGAATAAAAAAACTTGAGAATTTTGTTTGAGTTCAATCCTAAAGTATGTACGAGGATGTATTTCAGAAAATTATTTTTACTTCTATAGGGTGACTCAAAAAAAGTGTGAGTGGATCGAGATTATTTTTTTATGGGGAACACCCTCTATATTATTGCATTTTTGGCTTCCATTCAGACGACTTTATATAATCGTAAGATATGATAAAAAAAGATATATTTTTCAATCTTCCTTAAAAAATATAAATACAAGAACTGTTCTGAAATCAACACTATAATATTAGGTATTTACTTTAGATGGGCTATACTTACTTTGCTATAAATATCGTAATCTTTAGTTATACAGGGTGTTCAAAATTCTACGCCAAACTTTCTAAAATATAAAATAATTTTTCTTTTTTTTACTCAGTATATTATTTTTTTTATTAGATGGAGAGTTAAAAAATGAACATTTTTTGTATTTAAAGTATTTCAAAATTTATAATGGTTTCGCAGATACACGCAGTATTTCATATGGCTCTTTCAACGGTAAAATACGAGAGAAAAATCATTGGGTGGCTTTGATAAAAAATTACTGTGGAAAATGCCATATGAAATATAAAACCGCGAATATCTGCAAAACCGTTAAACATTTTTAAATACTCTAAATACAAAAAAATGCTATTTAAAAAAATAAAAGAAAAGTTATTTTTTATTTAGAAAGTTAGGTTAGGTTAGGAAGAATTTTGAACATCTTATATGATTTATGATTACCATATTTATAGCAAAGTAAGTACAATCCATCAAAATACCTAATATATTTTTGATTTCAGGACAGTTCGTGTATTTTGTAATAAATTTTTCAAGGGAAATATTTTTTTTAATTTATTTATTATTATCTTTGAACTATCGAAATATATTTACTCATGTCTTAGGATTATGTAAAGTGATCTAAAACGAAGCCAAAAATACAATAATATACAGGGCGATTCCGTTAAAAAAAATCCCGATCAACTCACTCTTTTTTGAGCCACCCTATAGAAGTTAAAATATTTTCCTGAAATACATCCTAGTACACACTTTATGCCGAGTCCAGAACAAAAATTAAACACGATTTTGAGACAAAAACAAGACAAACTTGCGACAAATTGTCCACACCGCAAGGACAAAAGTACAACAAAGTCAAAAGTTTAGTTGTTGCGAATGAGTTTTATGAACCATGTGTGATTTCACTGGTCTCCTACTGTTGGCAGCACACGCCATCCACACTGCGCCGACAACTTGTCGTAAAATATATGAACAAAACGTAGACACTTTGACCTTTACCGACTCGAGACGGGGCATTGAAAAGTCTCCGAATTTTGAAATAAAACAAAAATGAGACAATAATGTATTGGATTTGTCGCAATTTTGTCGTAAAACATGAATGTTTCTGTCTTGTCGTTGTTGTGTCTGTTTGGTCTGGACCCGGCATTGCACTTAAACAAAATTCCCAAGTTTTTTATCTAGGAGCTACAGAGGCCCGACGCACTATTGCCGGACACTGTATATTTTCGATAAATCAATACTAAATAAGAAGAATTTTGGTTTTTCGGGTTATTAGGCCGTCGTCGGTTAGAATTGCTTCCTAACGTTTCGCTAGCACGAGTGGCTAGCATCTTCAGAGGTGTGTTTGCTCCGATTGCTCACACTAGACTGATGCCTCCGCGTCGGCGTAGCGCGTATTTATGCGTCGGCGGAGGGGGCGTGGCTTGTTCGGGCTCAGCCTTGTTCTTCACTAATGTTTTCCAAGTAGTATTGCTTGATGTTGAGGCGCTTTCTTATTATTGGTTTTTGAGGATTTTTAATAATTAATTTTGAGGATTTTTAATTAATTAATTAAAATATAAATCTCATATAAATTAAACAATTTAAATGTAATACGGGTATGTCCATTTGTTACCTAAATTTTGTTACGGGTGTATGTTACTTGCCCCTCTTTAATTACTTCATAATTTTCTAAAGTCTGATTAACCTTTCCTGAATAAAAAATAAGATGAAGTCAGGATGGGATTACTCCACATATTATACAATAGTCAAGAGACTGAGCATGTAAAAGGACAGATTGTTAAACGAATGAATCACATGCTCAATCGACATTAATTTGCCTTCATAACCGTTTACTGAAGTAAGTACCTCTCTTTAATAACTTCATAATTTTCTAAAATATTATTCGCCTTTCTTTATTAACAAAAACAAGATGTAGTCAGGATGGGATTACTTCAATGTTATACAAATGTCAAGGGACTAAACACGTAAAAGAAGAGATAGTTAAACGAACGAATCACATTCCCAGTCGACATTAATTTGCTCTTTCATAACGTTTACTAAAGTAGCTCTTTAATCACTTCATAATAACCCTTTCGTAATTTACCTTTAATAATAAAAACAAGATGAAATCAGGATGAGTGCATAAATTTACATGCTATACAGGGTGCTACAAATTCGAGGTACGAGCATTGGTATCTCGGTAACCGTAATAAATACGAACTTGGTTAAATTAGGGCAAAGTTGCGCTTTGGGATGATCACCAAGATGCCATCAAAAAAGGATGAAAATTTTCAAGGATTGCTGAGTTTTTTGAAAATCAATTTTATTTTTTCCTGTCGTTACTTTTTAGAAAATCAAAAAACTAATTACGCATTCTTATAGCCACTTTATTAGGGCTATCTGAAAGTATTTTTAGATTTATAAATTAGCTGATAATTTATGAGATATAGAGGTCAACTTAATTTTTTTAAATACGGACCTGCATTTTTTATTTCAGATATTGAAAGAACTCGGTTTCCTGAGTACAATGATATGCCACACTTAATATTTTTTTTTGCTTCGGACATTTGTACACAATTTATTAAACTAATTTCTCAAGTCCGGCTCTGTTTTTTTTTAATATTTAATCTATTCATCGTTACAATATTGATAAGCTTTCAAACTTAACAATGACTTGGGCTAAAAAATTGAATACAAAAAATTAAATGCAATCAAATAATATAAAATAAATAATATAAATATAATATAATATAAACAATCAGATCATTTCCCCGGAAGATGGATTAGAAATAGTAGGTAGAGCAGTATAATGGCCAGCGAGGTTCCTGGACCTGCTGTCAAGGGGCGGGGGGGGGGGTGGACTTAACTTGACGACATTTGTATAAGTGAAATCAATACATCTCAACATTTACAATAAAGAGTATAAAATGCATTCGGAACTATAAGAAATAAAATAGGAAAATTTAAAGAGCTATAAATAAAATTGAACGAATAATAAATTTGTGCAATAGGAAGGGTGGTAATCTTTTCGAACATGTAGAGCATTAAAAACTAGTTTGTAGAAGTTGATTTATTTATAATAACTACCACTAATTTTATGCATATTATTAGATCTCACACTGAGATTTCAAATTCACAATAAAAAAAAATTAAAAATAATATCTTTAAATTGCTAACCTGGATATTATTTATTCGAATCTTCCAATTGGCTCAATTTTCCTTATTTAATGTTAATTAGCGCTGATTAATATTGTTGCGATGAATATAAATCAGATTAAATAATTAAAAAAACAGTCAGAGTCGGACTTGAAATTATTTTAAATAATATTTAAATAGTTTTGTTGTTGTTAAGGTACCCAAAACAAAAAAAGTATAAAATGTGGCATATCGTTGTACTCAGGAGACCAAGGTCTTTCAATACCTAAAATAAAAAATGCAGGTCCATATTTAAAAAAATTAAGTTGGCCTCTGTATGTCAGAAATTATCAGCTAATTTGAAAATATAAAAATACTATCAGATAGCCCTAATAAAGTGGTTATGAGGATGTGTGTGTCAGTTTTTTGATTTTCTAAAAAGTAACGACAGGAAAAAATAAAATTGATTTTCAAAAAAATCTTTCCAAAAAACTCAGCAATCCTTGAAATGTTTAAAACTTTTTTGATGGCATCTTAGTAAACATCCCAAAGCGCAACTTTGCCCCATTTTAACCATGTTTGTATCTATTACGGTTACCGAGATACCCATGCTTGTACCTCGAATTTGTAGCACCCTGTATAAATGCCCAGACACACAACAAAACTGAACATGTAAATGGAGAGATTGTTACATGAAATAAATCACATGCCCATTCGATGTTAATTTGTCTTCATAACGCTTATTAAAGTAGATAAAAATATAACCAACTTACTAAAAGCCAGGAGCGTCATAGGTGAAAGAGACCGTCATTATATCTATCTCGCTCCGGTTCCTTAACATATAAACCGGTTGAAGTGAGACAGAACTTTCCGCGCTGTCTTGCGGTGATGACGCAAATGGCTTTTAGTAAGTTGGTTTTATCTTTACCTCTTTATATAATCACTTCATAATTTTCTAAAGTATGATTCACTTTTCTTCAATAATATGAAAAAAACTAATTACTACGAGTACATTTTATGAACATTTTACAGATCGTGTATTTGAAATAACACAAAAATTGAGATAAATTGTAGAGGTCTTCTTCTCTTTTATCCTATCATCCACTTGAAGGTTTGGTGGTAGTTTTCATTTTATTTTTTTAAGTTCTTGGGCTATGTGTATGACTTCATATAGTAAATTTCTTATTTCTTCATTAACTCTATCGGCTCATCTGGTCGGAAATCTTATTGTTTTTATTGAAAAATGTAGTTTCAAGTTACTTTCTTCCACAAAAAAAATGAATTTACGAAAGTACGAAGTGATAAGGAGATTTTATTCGTTTTTAAATTATGATAACTGTAAAATTTAAATATTGTGTTGATATTAAGAATTGCAACTTGCTCTTGTGACAATAATCAGTATAATATTCGATGACGTAAGTCTTATTTATGTCCGTGGGAATCGAAATTTATCCGGTCACTCCCCCGCAGTTCCAAGCTAAAACAACCCTAAACAAGTTTTGATGGCGCCTCTAAGTCGGTAGTCCAATGAAAGCTGAGTCACGCGATGGGCGAATGTTGGATATAGAGAAATGCTTCACATTTACATACATCAACTTCTAATACTGACCTAACTAATTTGTTAAAGAACGTCGAAATTTCGTGATAAATAAAAATTGTTAATAATAAATTAAAATAATAATAAAAAATAATAATAATTGTTCACTTTATCATTGAAGGATTTGAAAGACATGTTTGAAAAAGTGTAGTTTTAAATGTTGAAAAAGTAATAAATTAAAAAAATTGGCGCCGGGTGGCACGTATAGCCGCCCATACTAAAATATGTTAATAAAAAGTTGGTAGGCAGTTCTTTTAGTTTCAAAGTAAAGGAATTTTTCCAATTTTGATCCGCGGTTATTTCCCCTATCCGCCACCTGGGGTCGCGTCCGATGGGAGTTTGGAGTTCTCCACACGGATTTTCTCAAAAACGGACTACGGAAACACGGAATATCTCAAAAACTGCTACTTTGACTGCTGTTATTACAAATTTTGTTGCAAATATTATTCCTAATCTTAAATTGAAAACAGCGTTTCGCTAGCTACTGTAATTTTAGAGTTACGATTTTGTAAAATTTTTAACCTCCTCCCATACCCCCTTACCAACCCCCCACCCCCACCAAAAATTAATGGCCAAATAACTCATTTTGAGTGAAATTAAAAAAACTTTTTTTTGCCGATCTTAATAGCCTACCACACCTGTTGATATGGGCGGCTAAAAATATTTTTTACGCGTAAAAAATAGTTTTACCAAGACCGCTTGTCGAACTCCAATAATCACTGGAATATTTTGGGAATATGGAATTATTGGAATATTTTGAAATTGGGAATAACAATTACACATTGGACACATTACTAATCCAATTAGCAGGAATTGCTGGTTTTGATACCAGTCACTCTAAAGGCTCCTAGGGATGATGATACAATTGGATTGTTAAGTATTGTAGTTTATACAACCATTCGGCTAAATACGTGGCTTTGGAAGATAATGTCAGCGTAGTATCATTGAGTCTTGGTAACGTTAAACCAGGGACCTTGGTTCTGGTGATAAATAGCATTAAGTTTTTCCTGGATTGCATTTAGTTCACATTTTTACTCATTACAAAAAATATCTCAAATATACTCTTTACGGACCGGCAAAAACCGTGGACTATTACTGCTACATAATCAGCATAAGCAACTGCCTTGACTCTCTCATCGAGTTCCGACTGATATACAATTATATAAGTATTATGCAGGGTGAGTTTCTTACGATGTTCTCTATGGGTATCTCGGAAACTACTGGAGATAGAGAGTCGGTTAAATGGGGAAAGAGTTGCAGTTTTATCGGGTCATAAATATGCGCCTTTCAGATTTTTGAAAAAGTTCATGGCTTACTAGATATTTCGAAAAAAACAAATTTCGGCTATTTCAAAAATTGTCCCTAATTCCATTATAAGCTATTTTAGACAAAAAGTTTTCAGATAAAAGTTGTAGATAATCGCACCCTTAATGAGACTGTGTCCTCCGTTTTTTCTAAAGCCTGTCATTTTTGACATATGACACAAACATAGGTTTTTTTAAATGGAAACCATAGTTGGCCATGACTTCATAAAAAGCGCCATTTTTTAAGCTTTTTAATGATATAAGCTATAATATCTTTTCTTCGAAAAATTACTGAGTTATTGCCAATTCTTATGATTTTTAAACAAATTCACTTAGTTAGCCATGGAAACAAGTTCAATCGCCGTTGCTCTCAGAAATGTGAAGCTGTCACATCGAAACTTTGTAAATTAAAATAAACAAAAATTGTAAATATGAATTTTTCAAATGAAGAAAACCGTGTAGATACTCGCGCATCAATAGAGTGGTTCCAACATGACCTTCCATTATGACACACCACCCCCCACCCCACATAATGAGAGAAATGTTAAAAATTATTTATATCATAATTATACAAACGCAGGGATAGGAAGAGGTGGACTAATTGCATGGGCCTCCCCTGACCTATCCATTTTAGAATTTTTTATGTGGTATAGTTAACAATAAGGTTTACAAAAGAACTTATGAATTAAGAGAGGCACTAGAAGTGGCGGTACGAGAAAAGTTTAATTAAGTCGACCGGTCCTTCTATGAGAATGTAGTAATTCAGTTTTACAAAGATGCAACTCAAAACAATGGCGGATTTTTTGAACATTTTCTAAAATAACTTAAAGTGTATGTAGTGATATTATTTTTTAAGTATTAGTTTGTGTAATGTAAATTGTAAAGAACCGTAAAAG